TTTGCACCACATCTGTTAAGAACTTGATTGTTTAGCATGGCAGCACCGACGCTTTGGAACTCCCTGCCTATTGATATCAGGCAGGCGCTTTCAATGTAACCTTTTCGGCACCTGTTGAAGACATTCTTATTTAGACAAGCCTACCCAGATGTTTAGAAGGTTTGTATGAGTTAATTTGTTTTAGTCTATTGTGGTTTATACTTTCGGTATGTTTTAAATTATGGTTGTGAATTTTTAGTGATAATTTTATTGTTTTATCTTTTTTGTAAACCACTTTGAGGTTTTTTCTGCAATCAAGCAGTACAAAATACTTATGAAATAAAATAATAATAATAAAATAATAATAATAATAAAATAATAATAAAATAATAATAATAATAATAATAATAATAATAATAATAATAATACCAGGCTTTAAAAATGCCTAGATGGCTGCTTGTCCCTTGTGTGGTCTGCTGGCCATCCAGGTGCTGCAATATCAAGGAATGTTCACATACACTCTAACTTGTGATCAACCAGGGTTGGCAATCAGTGCAACTGCTATGATAGAGTCAGATCCCTTGAGTTAGAGCAGCGGTGAGGGGAGAATCACAGAGAGCTTAAGGCTAAACTGGATTGTGTGGTATTCATTAGAAGTGGTAGGTGGTTCTCAGGATACCAAGCATGGGGGAGGCAGTTACAGGAAAACGCTGGAGAGGTGAGGAGCATTAAAATTATGTTTCTCACAGAAAATATTGTTTGTCACAGAAAAGGAAAACCTTACAAGCACTATTTTGGCAGCATTCTAATGCAGAGTTAAGATAGCAATTCTGCTATTCAAAAGAACCAGCTAAAAGTAGCATGGAAACTTTACTTTTATAGCTTGCTTGCTTAGAACCTACAACAGAAAATACTGCAGGAGGAACTGGATTACTGTATTGCACCTACCATCTGTGCTGAACAGATCCAGGGTACCCCCGTCACTTTTATCCCATGGTGGTACAAGGTAAAGGATGAAAGCAATTCGCCGTCCCTCCAACTCGTCATCGTGGCAGAGCAAGGCATCTGCAACAGCGTAAGATTTAGCTGAGCAAGATCAGTGCTGAGTGTACTGGATGTGCCAGATAAACTACCAGGCTTTAGTCTTTTGCCCAAACCCTAGGTCAACAGCATCCATCAGAGATACTGTTCCCAGACCCTCCTACCAGCACAGCGAACTCATCTCTGCAACAGGTCCTGCAGGTAGGTTGCTTACCTGTATATTCATATTTAGCACAGGACAGATCAATGGTTGACTCCAGCTCCACTTGGGTTACATCAGAAAGCCAAGCCTGGAACTCTTCAAAGAGAACTTTTCTAAAAGGAGGAACAACATGGAACGTGAGGCTGCTAAACCTCAACCATTTATGTTGCATGTGGAATAAAACATGACCTTTTGGCATCTATCTTTACATGATCCACCTGAAAGGTCTCTATATACTCCAATACATGTTAAAAAGCAAGCAAAGGTTGAGTAGGGTGTGGGGGCAATGATTAAAGATATAGTAGAAGTCCAGTCAGCACATATCTCAGTCAACCCACACATTCTTCAGTCCACCCCCACCCTAAATCTTGTCTAAAGGACAGAGACCTGTTAGATCAGACCAAAGGTCCATTTGATCCAGCACTCTGCTCTCACAGTGGCCAACCAGATGCCTCTATAAAGCTCATAAACAGGACATGAGAGCAACAGAACCCTCCCCTCTTGTGCTCTTTATCAATGGGTATTCAGAGACATACTGCCTCCAATACTGGAGTTATCTTCACATTTAAAAGGAAAAACAATTAAGATGGACATGCCTAGTGCTCAAAATCCAACACTGAAGAGTGGCTTATGATCGCTGACCCAGAAGTAAGTCCCAAAGAAATCAGATGGGCTTACTTCCAAGTAAGTATGCATTGCTTTACAAGTGAGGGGATATAACTAGCATAACAGGCCAAATTGCCACTATCTTTTTAAGTATCTTGGAAAATTAGGTCGCAGTAGTTGCTCTTGTTCTCAGCATACACAAGAACACCCCTGCATCTTTGACTTGGCCATCATAATCCACAGTAGTCTTTGGCACATTACAAAGCAGCAATTTTACCTTAAAGCAGTGATGTAAGGCCCTCCTTTGTTCTTCAGGTCATCAGACTATGCAACAAGAAGCAACAAGAGTTACAACTTTTACCCTACACTCCAAATGGCTTTTATGGTAACAGCAAATTGCATTTGTATCTGGATGATCTCCCTAAAACAGCTGGCCAAATCCAGTCCCCAACCCCCACCGCATGTCATCTAAAAGGTGTGCAAGGAGAATGAAGAGGAGTCCCCTGTGAAGAGGGAGCTGACCAAGTAAGCTTTGCCCTCCTCGGTATGGTCACTCAAAAAACCAAAAACAAACCACAACTATACAATAGCTAGTAGTATTTCCTCCTGATTCCCCCCCCCCAAAAAAAAAGTATGGAAAGGAGAACCCAAACACATGAACAGAACTTGAGGCCATCCTGATCTCCCAGCAACATTCTTAGTGGAGAGGTTGGGCAGTGGCTGCAGCTGCTGTAAAGAAAGCTCTACCAGCCTGACAGATTGTGCATAAAACTGATCTGAGCTCTCAATCATTACCACCACTGACACTGCTTCTGAAAAATAGATGTATGAATCTGATAGTCATGCCCTATAGGAAAATGACCATAAGAATCCATCCAAAGTAGGGAATTTTGTAACTAAATAACTAGTGCCAGAGTTTGCTTTTTCTTGCACTCTTCCAATCCCTTATCTTTTGGTGTCATGTCTTCTAGACCATAAGCCTGGAGGGTAAGGATTGTTGATCATTCTAAGATGCTTTAGCAGCCTTCTTTGGCTAGGGCAGAGTAAAAAACAAACAAAAAACTTTAAAAAAATAAATATGCCAAATAAAGCACCTGCTTGAATTTGTACAAGTCATTGCACTTTTCATGGAAATCCAGGCTCAAAAGTTCCTTTTGCAGACCTTCTGAAAAGTCCTCATTTTGGAAGAAGTTTGGGATGACACAGTGATGGAAAGGAACAGGATCTAAGACAATGGCCTCTGGAGAAAACAAAACAGACAACAGCTTCCTGAAACACATAACACAGCCCTGTATACATTTTACTGTGCTATCTAGCTGCAGGCATGTAACTCTTAATCCTGACAAAGTTGGCCTTTTCATCATCAGTTCTGATACTTAAACCAAATTATAGACAGCATATTAGATTATAGTTAACTTGCAAATAATTCTCACTGGGTGAGGTGACCTTGGGTCAGTGAGTCTCTCAGTCTAACCTACCTCACACGGGGTTGTTGTGAAGATAAAAAAATAGCGTAGGGGGGGAGAACACCACCTGAGGTGCTAGGAGGAAAGGTGGGGTATGAATGTAATAAATAATGAAGCTCATTACTGGGGGCCAAGTGGCATTCAGTTTAGGAATGCAGGGCATCCCTTAACCCCACATACATTATCGCTGGCTCAGGGCATGCCGCATATCCTCCTTTCAGGCCAATTTGTAGGGCTTTGTCAACTATTTTCACACTGACAACTTCAGGGAGAGTCTAGCTGAGTCCCAGAGCTTGCTTTCAAGGACAGCATTTGTCCCTGCAGTCTCAAGCAATTTTTGAACACTCTACCATCAGATGACTCTTCCAACATCAATCTGTGAACATATGGAAGGCCCTCTGGATCAAGCCAAAGACCCATCTAGTTTTGCATTATATTCCCACACCTGCCAAACTATGGGAAGCCCACAAAAAATCATACGCCCATAGAACACTCCCAGTCATGACTCCCAGCAACTGCACACGACCTCTGATCCAAAAAAGTAGTATGCAGGCATCACAACCACTAGCAATTGATAGCCTTAACTTCCATGGATTGATCTAATCCTCTTTTAAAGCCGTCCAAGTTGGCAGCCACCATCACATTTTGTATTGCTGAAATCCACAGTTAAATCTGGCCTGTGTGAATAGGTATATCCTCTAGTTTGTCCTGAATCTCAGCTTGGCCCTGAGATCTACTATTATGAGGAAGGGAGAAAACCTGCTGTCTCCCTCGCTCCACATGTGTAATTTTAGAAATACTGTACACATTACCCACCCTTTTTCTAAGCTAACAAATCCCACGTGTTGCAGCCTTTCCCATAAGGAGCTGCTCAAGACCCTTGATATACAACGTACAAAAAGTTATTAAACCCAATTTGGCTATGAATTATAAGGCAGCCGACAGCAAGGCATAAACACAATAATTTGGCTTCTAATAGGCAAAGGGCTGTTCTTTTACAAATTCAGAGTTGTCGACCGTTCTCCGATATTTTATCCTCACAGCAGCCCTTTAAGGTATGTTATGCTGAGACAGGTACCAGCCCAATATCCACCTAGCGAGGTCTAGGGCCGAGCGGGGGGTGTGAACTCGGGTCCAAGCGCAACTTTCTGCCCCAACCCACCACACCACTTCGCGAAACCGGTTCTGTCGGCGCGCCCAGCTCCCGCACTTCCAGTCTTGGGCACTTGGGCAGCACAACGCAGGCACTGGCTTCATACTTCCAGGAGGACTAGAGTCTTGGAGGCGCCCATGGAAAAGGGGTCCTAAGACGGAGGGCCCCGCCCCGGTCCCGCCTCCCTCGCTGCTTGCTTGCCTCCCTCGCCTCCAAGCCCCGTAAGCCTACCGTGGTCGAGCGCTTTCTGGCAGGCCCAAGCCGCGGTCACCTTCTCCTTCAGGGCCGGCTCCCTCAGGGCTGCAGAAAACTCCGCGCGAACCTCTTGCTTGACCCGCTTCTTGGCCGTTTCTCCGTTGACGGGCGAACCAGAGTTTTCCACACGAGCCGAGCGGCTCCTGCTGCGCCTTCCACTCATCTTCCCCGCACGCATGTGCACAGTACGCAAGAAACTACGGCTCCCGTCATACTTCACGCTTAAAGGCGGGCCTTATTCTTGGTCTAGCCAATCGTAGCGGTGGGCGCGAGGCGAGAGCGGGAATGAGCGCGAACGAGCGAGAAAGGTGAAGGAAACCACGCAGAGATAGGATACGTACTCTTACGCACTCTAGAGTCTCCTAACCAGCTGCTAGGATGGTTAGTTGAGAGGCGGGGCTGCCGCGGGATGTTTTCATTGGCTGTGGCGTTTCTCATTCGCTCTCGAGTCATGTTTGCTTTCTCTATGGTACTCAGGCCCGGCCAGAGGGGCCGGTACGGTTTCCTCAGGAGCGTTTAACGCAGATGGACGGACTCGGCTTCATTCCACCTTCGTCTCTATGGTTCCCGGAAGTGTGGCCTACTGGTTCCGGTGTGGGATTCGGCGGGTGTGAGGCGAGCGGTGTGCGGGACGGAGCGGAGGTTCAGCGCGGCCGGGGAATGCTCGTGGCCTTCTGAGCCGCTTTCCGCTTTCGCCATGTCCGTCGTGCCGCCCAACCGCTCCCAGACCGGCTGGCCCCGTGGGGTCAACCAGTTCGGTAACAAATACATCCAGCAAAGCAAACCCCTCACGCTCGAGCGGACCATCAACCTGTGAGTGGCGCTCGGTGCCCCCCCTCCTTCCTCCCCTCCCAAGAGCAGCGAAGAGCCACAGCGCCACGCCTCCTCCGCCCCTTTCTCCCGCGTCTTTACTATAATAGGGTTGTTTCCCCCCCCCCCCCAGCATCCTCTCCCTTCCGCGATTCCCAGCACTTTGTCTTGCTCCCCTCTATGCGCGATAAAAAAAGTCGAGGTCCCATTCACACGTGCATAATTTGCGCGGTTTCCCTGCGCTTGGTTATTATCGGCACCTTTGTGCATGTGTCGTAGCTCAACGGTAGAGTAGCTGTTTGCCGCTGCATGTCGGGCTGCCTGGAACCCTGGAGAGTCGCTGCCAAACAGTATAGGCGACCGTGAACTAGATGGGGTCAGACTTTGCTTTAATGTAGATCCCTAGGTTCCTCAGTCGCCCACACTTCCGCTCTCGGGGACACCTTAATCTGCCTCCACCCCAAGTGTCTTGCAGCTTGCAGACCACATTCTCTCCCCACCCCCCACTTTTTATTAAAGGATGTGTATCTGTTTACTGATGCATTTCTTTTCTGCATGTATCACTTGGGGGATTTTCAGTAGTAAAATCGTATGGGGTGGGGGAAGGCAGTCTGGATCCCCTGTGCCAGCTAAGGAGCTTTTTGTAAACTTCTAGCAACACAAAATTACAAATATAAGCAACTGAGTAAGAAAACAGACCCAATGATTTCCTTTTACATTGAGTCTATATGCGGCATTGTCATTTGAATACTGTATATATTTCAGTAAGTGCAGGACAGGAGGAAAAAGGTCTTGACCTCCAGCCGATACGTAAGGCCGGGGGGGGGGGGGGAGAACAAAAAATATATTAAATGTATGACTCCAGGTAGGGCTGCGAAATACTCTTCACTGAAACCCCGGAGAACCATTGCCAGCCAGAGTAGATCCCCTGTCTGAAACCCTGTAGAGGTGCTGCCAGTCATTTTGTAGACTAGACTGAGCTAGATGCAGCAACTGTCTTGGTTCAGTGTAGGGCAACTGTCTGTTTTGTGCATGTGGGGCTGCAGCTCCAAAGCATACAGTGGAAACGGACCGTGTAACACAGCTCACAGTCACTGGCCATACCCTGCTCTGTGTTCAATGTTTGAACTAGATTGTCAGTTTGCATGAAATACTGTATTTAAGGTGTAATTCCTTTTAGGTATCCACTCACAAATTACACTTTTGGGACCAAGGAACCCCTATATGAAAAGGACAGTTCAGTGGCTGCCCGGTTCCAGCGCATGAGGGAGGAATTTGACAAGATTGGAATGAGGCGGACTGTCGAGGGGGTCCTCATTGTGCACGAACACAGGCTGCCTCATGTGTTGCTTTTGCAGTTGGGCACAACTTTCTTCAAACTGTAAGTGAGCTTTACCAAACCTAGCACTGCGTAATGATACATGTTTGAAGCTCCACAGAGAAAGTAAATGACTTGTGCATGGAGGGCAAAGGCAGTTTTAGGGTAGCTCAACCAGTGTGGTTGCACTGCAGCGAGCGCCATAACAATGCTGTAAAACTGAGTGAGAGACGGGGTGCGGGTGGGATTTTAGTGTTGCACAGAGCACCACTGCAATTTGAGAGCCCTGGTCTATCACTGTGGAGGGGCTGTTTGGAGTGGAGAAGCAGCTGGGCCTGGGGAGTGAAGCACCATTCTCCCCCTGCCATTCTGTCAGGGAGAGGTGAGAAAGTGAAGTGTGTCCTTCAGCCTTGTGTTGCAACCAATGTTCTTTAGCTCCTACCCTCCTAGAACTGCTTTCTACAGTACCATTTCTCCTTATTGTTAGGGTTTGAAAGAGTTGCTCCTACCTAGAACTTGCTTATTTTTCTTGCATTTCTCTTTGTTTGTACATAATGTTTCTTAAATTGTGAACCACCTCAAGTATTTCAGCCAGAAAAACAAAGTATCAGTGTTTCAAGTAAATATGGAGGAATGTAAAAAGCAACTTTGCCAGATCCTTAAAAGGCTCAGGTAATAAGTAGCATGAGAGAATTCTACCTGAGACCCTGGAGAGCTACTGCTAGTTAGAGTAGACAGTACTAGCCTAGATGGCCAAATACAGTCCAAACTAATATAAAGATGTAGCCAATATTCCTATGTATTTTCTGTAGCATGCTGATTCCCAGTTCCAGTTCTGGGGAGTTCACACACAGTTTAGGCAACTAACTGTGTTTGTAGCTGGCCATAATAGTAGCTTTAGACTGCAGGCTACTGGGGAAATCTGAAGAGGGGAAATCATACCTAACTGAGGTTCATTGATTTCAATGGGTCTGTCTGAGTAATACTTAGCTACAGACCATGGTCTTCCATTTTAAATAGATTGTTGTTGGTCAAGTAGTCAACTCCAGTGGGGCTTTCAGGTAATTTGGGTTACTTCAGCTTTATTCCCTCTACAAATTACAGTATATAGCAGTAAAGCAGTATATAAATGGTTGAAATAAACAAAATGCTGCGTTTTTTCATCTATCCTTTCTGAATATTGCTTATTACCTTCCTCCTGCTTCTCTTAGAAAACTAAAAGGTGATGGTGATCTGACTGCACCATACATGACTCTTCTAATCTCTTTGCAGCATTAGCTAGTCTAAATTCTTGGGAATAGTTTCACAAGTTTCTGAAGTTAATAGGTAAGCCATTTTTAATGCCCTCAGCCAACTAATTCTGGAACAAAATCTCTGGGTCCATTTTTTGATTGCAGAATTTGCACAGAAGTAAAGCAACACCATAGTTCTTCTAGGATATTGTCACCTCCACAGTAGTAAACTACAATACCTCAAGGACTGTCTCTCCTCATATTAGCTGACCCTGTAACAGAGCAGAGCTATGGCCCTTCTACAAGAAGTCTGGATAGTGCCAACACGAGAACAGGCCTTTTCTGCAGTGGCTCCTCTCTTGTGGAATGCTCTCCCCAGGGAGGCTCCTGTGGCACTTTCATTACATATATTTAGGCACCAGGCGAAAACATTCCTCTTCTCCCAGAGCTTTGACTAATTAAACAATCTATGGCCTTTTAAAGTGGGCATCATTGTTTTGTTTGTTATTATGCTTTGTATTTTTGTGTTTTTATACTGTTCTGGGAACCTCAGATGCATGGCGGTATATAAATTAAACAAACAAAGTCCCCAAATTTAAGCTGCTTAACCATTGGCAGTTTTCTTTATGTAAACAAATAAAGAGTCCAGGACATAAAATGTCCCATTGAATCTATTGATTTTTACCACTGGTTTTGTGTTGTATTAAAAAAATATATCTAATAGGACTTAATGGGGGGACGGGACCTGGTCCAGATTTGTTTTGACACATTTTACTATCCTGAGAAGGTGAAATTTGGCTGAGGTAGTAAAACATTCTCAAAACAGCTTTTTGGACATTTACTGCAGTGTTACTTTAAAAAATATTTTAATTATGACTGCACCTAAAACACATCCTTTATCATGAATTTCTTTTCCACAGGCCAGGTGGTGAACTTAATCCGGGAGAAGATGAAGTAGAAGGTCTCAAACGTTTAATGACAGAGGTAGATGTCACAATTATTTGCATTTTTATCCTGAGGCTTTAGGATGGATAACAATAAGCCTTTTATGGTTGCATTCACATGAACAAAGGTGAATAGCATTCAACACACCTGTAAGGTAAATTCAGGAATTAAAACACCTTAATTTTTAATAAACTCTTAGGTGCAGAAGTATATTTGCAGTTTTGCCAATCCATGAAAATTCCAGTGAGTATGTATTTTGAGTTCTGAGTTTTTCTGGTTTTCCATATGAAAGCTAACAAACCCTCACTCTAAGGCAGCTCTGGCGAACCTTTTCTAGCTAGCTGGCAAGGTCCTTCACTCCCCACCCATAGAGAGCCAAATTTGACTGGTGGTCAGAGCTGCTCACCTGTCAATCACCTTGCCAAGCAGAACATCATGTCATATTAATACTTCATTTCCTGTTCTTTTCAGCAAGCTTATAAGGCACCCAGCTAATTGACCCCCAGTGCCTTTCTTTCCCAGTATTTGGTACTGGTGCTGGCGTCATCTGAGGCTTGTGTAGAGTTTAGGCTTTGGGTAAGGTGCAAACATCTGGTGCTGCTTTTGACTGACCCTTACATAGGAGCACAAATTCTATCTTAGTTGTAAACTCTGTGTTTATTGAAAAGTGCCTCTTCAGTTAAAGGGGCCCAGCCTTCTCCACAAGTGAAGCAGGGAAGGCTCTGGGGCTTCTGTAATGGAGACTTCTGTAATGGATGACAATGGAATATTCTTCAGACTGATGTGCTCACCAGTTGTTCCTGGGTCTGACCTTTGATGCAATTCCGCTTCTGACTCAGAGTCATCAGTTTCACCTCCTGAAGAAGTGGGTCATGACAGCTCCATACCTCTCAGCTCACTGTCTTTCTCCTTGGAACGCTGGGCGCTAGTTGCATTTTCCTTAACTATGTTTTGTTTTGGATTCTTTTCATTCAGCTGTCTCTTTCTTTTCCCTTCACTGTGTGTGAGCTTCATCTGCCTCCACCTTTCCTGCACAGCTGGTGCTCAGCTTGTTTATTATTTTAGTTATGCAAACCACTTAACTGTGGTTTTTTTGGAAATGGAAAGACAGCATATAAACTGTCTTAGTATTCCCATGGGGCGGGGGTGGCATTGGACAGTGGAGATTTGCATTCTGGGCACCAGCTATATTGAAAATTTTGCGCCCTTTGATAGAGATTTGCATACTCAGCAGTATCAGTTGATACTGGGAAGGGAGTGGGAGGGTTAGGAGACAGGAGCTCATGTACTTGGCATTGACCAATGCTGGGAAGGTGCATGCAGGAAAACGTGGCAGCAGCTGCAGCTTTGCTCCTTTAATGCCACTTTGTCTTTCTTAACTTCCTTCTCTTCTCTCCCCATCTCACTCCCTGGTCCAAAAGTCATTTCAGATTCCATTACACAAAGAGAAGCAGATGAATGCCGAGTGTTGCAGGAGACACAGGTGAAGCTAAGCTAGTGAGCTTCTCAAAAGCAATACTTGGCCATTGTTACGAGCAGGCTACTCTACCATATGAATCCTTAATCTGCCTGAGCAAGGTCGTTCTTAGCTACAGTTCTTGAGATTATCCACTTAAAGATGGACTATACCTTTGAATACCAGTTGTTGGGGAGAAATATTTGTTACATAATGTTCTGTAAACAAAGTATGGCTAGCACTAAATAATGCATCTTTTTTTATTATACTTTTTAATAATAATAATAAATTTTATTTATATCCCGCCCTCCCCAGCCGAAGCCGGGCTCAGGGCGGCTAACAACACTAAAATAGTGCAACATTATAAAAACATTATAAAAATTAATTAAAATCAAAATTGATGGCAACCATAAACTAAAGTTTTGTAAAGATTGCCAAAGGAGGGAGTCAGGCTAAGACTAATTTTTCTTAGTCTAACAATCTTTTAAGTAACAGCACCATTGCTTATATTTCTGTACTTACTCTTTTGTGAACTAGTGAAAAAGTTAATCGAAACCTATTACTTTTTTTTAAATGCACCACTTTATAAATAGCGTTTTCTTAGCATCATACTGTAAATGATACACTGTAAATTAATGGCCTGGTTTGCATTTAATGCTAAATCATGGTTTGTTTACTGAAACCATAGATTAACCATGAGTTGTCCCACAGACTATTTTTTTAACAGCTTGCTCCTCCAAGCTTGTTTTGTTTTCCACCCTTGTTCCTTTGTTGCTTGATGAGTGTCTGGGGTGGGGGTGGTCAAAGAAGCCATAGTTAAGGAAGGGGGCTGGGTTCTCACATAATGCTAAAACAAACCAAAGTTCATAAGCAAACAACAATTGTGGTTTGACAAAAAACAAATAGTAGTTAAATCACTGGGCAGGGTTTGAATGATCAAACAAACTATGACTTAAATCATAGTTTAATAAACCATGGCTTTGTGTTATACAGTGGACGCTCGGGTTGTGAACGTGATCTGTGTGGGATGCACGATCACAACCCGCAGCGTTCACAACCTGCAGCAGCACGTCTGCACACACGCAGGCTGTGGTTCGGTGCTTCTGCGCGTGCACAAGGCGTGATTTAGCACTTCTGCGCATGCGCGACCGCCGAAACCCGGTGGTTCGTAACCCGAAAAAACGCAGCCTTAAACATCTGTAACCCGAGGTATGACTGTATATGAATCAGATCATTCAATTAACAGTATTTGTTTGCACTTCTATATTGATTAAAGAAATTTAAGAATTTAGACTATACTGTTGGGCTAGCATTCTTAATATATGACATTCTGCTATTGTGAAGCACTGGCATAGAGCATGTCAGGATTTTCCTTGCATTTCTATTTTGGCAGATCCTGGGTCGCCAGGATGGAGTGCAGCAAGACTGGGTCATTGATGACTGCATTGGTAACTGGTGGCGACCGAATTTTGAGCCCCCACAGGTGAGAATTGAAGTTGCCACTAGCATTTTCATTTGATTTATTTTTTGGGCTTACAACAAAACCCCTCCCAAGAACTAATTAATCATCCTACTACACGACTCTATTGCTGGTAGAAGACTGGCGGGCTCAGGCTTCTGTAAGTCACAGAAATAGAATTAAGTCACTTAGGAGCAGCATAGTTTCTTTGAACAGGATGAGAGGTTTTGAAATACAAAAACAAAAAAAGTGCATTAAATAAGGAGCAATGGCATTCTCCTCCCAGAACAACTGGTGGCCTTTTCAGGAGCAGATGGCACTTGCCCTTGAATTTTCTTTCTTTTGCCTCACGGTATGCAGGCCTTTCTTAAGCAGCCCCAGGGAATGTAGGAGAAGAGACTGCCTCAGCTGTTCTCTCCTCAGGGTGTTGATAGTCAAACAGCCAATGTTGCATGCTTCCTTTTTTTCTGCAGATCTTTGGCTTTTTGTTCAAATATTTGGTTTGTCAATTCATACTAAAGTTAGACTTATTCTTTTCATCAATTGATTCATTATGCTGTTCTGAAATTACAACATTGAAGTATAAGTGTTGTGTCCAATGTTGGTGCCACTTCTGTCCATGCATGGAAAGGTTGCTGATTCTCCCTGTGCCATTCCTCCCTGGCTAGCAACATTGCATTCTACTGCAGAACATGAACGGAAAATGACCTGCTGTGTGCATGTTCACGCATACAGCCTTTTACCACAGAGCCTTAACTTTTTTTAACGCACAAATTGTAGCTATGTGAACTTTCTCTGCCAAACCCTGAACAGCTTTGAACCTGTGAAAGACTGCTAGCCCCCATGGAGTCCTGGCTTATAACCCGGGGAACTCGTATCAGTGGCACCTCATATTGCAGACCATGGTGGGGACCCACAAAGGTGCATTTTCTGCTGTCACCTCAGTTCTCTAAAACAGTCTTCACCCTGCCATGCAGGAAGCATCACTGCTTACTAGCTTTAGAAATCTTTTGAATACCTCATCCCTGCCCCCCGCCCCCGGCTTTACCTAATTTGTTAAAGATGGATCCTGTTGTTTTGCGCATTGTAATGCTTTATTGCACCTGTACTGTTTATTGCAATCTTTAGTAACTGGTATTATTAGTGTACATTTTTGTAATATATTTTTCTTTAGCTGTAAATGATTTAGTTTTATATATAGGTGGTATAGATACAAGCACATTTCTAGAATTTGCAACCTAGAATTTGAAAGCAAGTGTTTTGAATCTGACTTTTAAAAAAAAAAGCAATTGTGCATGATCCAGTGGCATGATTGGCATCATGTCTAGTTTGGCCCTTGACCTGTGTTAGAATCTACCTATATTTTGCATTTGAAATATATTTGGAAAATAACTGAAGTGCTCTGGCTGTGGATATGTTTCAAAGCAAGTAGATTCTAACTGTCCTGGTTCAACCCCATGAACTCTCATAACGTGTTAAGTACTTCAATTTCAGGAAAGCTGTACACAGACACGAACTAATCATTATTTTTTATTGTTTCCCACAGTATCCGTATATTCCAGCTCACATTACAAAACCAAAAGAGCACAAGAAGCTCTTTTTGGTTCAGCTTCAGGAAAAGGGTAGGCATTCTGTCACACCTTTAATTTTCATATAGGTTTTCATATAGGTTTTATTGAGAGATGGCAACAAAATCCTGGGCAAGGTCGTTTGTGTTATCTAAACTTAAAAGAAAATTCTGAAAACTTATTTCCACTGTAGTGGTTTATATGCTGCTCAACAGCTCCTCCCCCACTCCTGTGCCGTGGATGAAACAAGCCAGAGTTGTTGTGAGAAGTGAGGTTACAGGGAACCAGGCAGAGGGCCTTCTCGGTAGTGGCACCCTCCCTGTGGAACGCCCTCCCATCAGATGGCAAGGGAATAAACAACTATCTGACTTTTAGAAGACATCTGAAGCCAGCCCTGTATCGGGAAGTTTTTAATGTTTGATCTTTTAGTATGTTCTGATATATGCTGTGAGCTGCCCAGAGTGGCTGGGGAAACCCAGCCAGATGGGCAGGGTGTAAATAATAAAGCTATTATTATTATTATTATTATTATTATTATTATTATTATTATTTGTGTGTTACAGTATGATGGATTTTATTGTGGGAGGTAGCATTTCTTCACATCTTTTCTGTACACAGTTTCACTTAAAATTGCTTAAGTTTGGATGGATGTGGCCTTAGGTTTTTATGACTCATTCCAAGTTGCTTTCAATTTGTATGTTGTGCCTGGATAACTTAGAATAGCCTGAGGAGTCCTCATGCCAGGCATGGTATCTGTATATTCAGACTGTGCAAACCAAAGTTCTAAATATTACTAGTCTTCATATGATGCAACCTAGGAATTAAGAAAACTAAGCTTCACTCAATATTTGTCTTGTCCTTGCTTGAAGCAGATTTTTATTTGATTTGATCTCTCTTGATTTGTTCTAGCTTTGTTTGCGGTCCCCAAAAATTACAAGCTGGTAGCTGCTCCATTGTTTGAGCTCTATGACAATGCACCAGGTTATGGGCCTATCATTTCAAGCCTCCCCCAGCTTTTGAGCAGGTAGAGTATGCTGTGAGTTTCCATGTTGTGGTTTCATACTGCTGCAGCTGCTACAGAAAAGCTTTCTTTAGCTCTTTCACTTGCTTTTGTAGGGAATAGCTGACTGAGTGCTCTGAGGATTGTGGTGCTTATGTATCCACATTGGCTTGGATCATAGGATAAATTGACTTAAGGAAAACCACAAAAGGAAGGTTTCCATCCTCCCTACAGCTGCCTGAAAGGTGCCCCTGATGGGTTGGGCCTCCTGAAAATGTATGTTGGGTTGCCAGGAGGAAATTCTACAAACTTCCTTAATTTATCTTAGGATTCAAGACACTGTATTTACATCATATCATTCAGCAGAGTACTTTAAATTAGTTTTGAATTACAAACAGTACTTCACATTCCTTATATGTTCCCTTTCACTTTTCCTTGCTTATCAAAAGCCAACAGAAGGCACCCTACAAAAATTTCCTTCTGTTGCTATAGTCATTGCCTGCCTTATCGTATGAGTACATTACCTCAGGAGAATCAGGCTTGATGTACTTTCTTGAACTTTGTTTGCTTGCTGGGCTTCCAGTTGATGTATTATGTGCTGGCTGGCTGTTTTTCAAGCTGTGTTCTTAGAAAACTAAAGTTCTAGCAAGCACTGTCTGGGTGCATGTAGAGCAGGGGTAGTCAATGTGGTCCCCTCGAGATTTTGGACTATAATTCCTGTCATCCCTGATGGGAGTCATGTTGGCTGAGGCTGGGATTTGTAGTCTGGAGAGCACCACATTGGCTACCCTTATGTAGGGCAATGCTAGGCTCAGTAGAGTAGAAAAAAGAAAAAAACCATCAGCCCATGGGTTGGATTAAAACTAGTCAAACTTCCAGGGTGCACATTCCAACGGTAGGTGGGGCAAAAACCCAAATAAAGAAAAACCACTTGTCCCCTAGCCACCCATCTTCAAACATACAGTGGTACCTTGGGTTACATATGCTTGAGGCTACATACGCTTCAGGTTACAGACTCTGCTAACCCAGAAATAGTACCTCGGGTTAAGAACTTTGCTTCAGAATGAGAACAGAAATGGTGCTCTGGCGGCGCGGCAGCAGCAGGAGGCCCCATTAGCTAAAGTGATGCTTCAGGTTAAGAACAGACCTCCAGAATGAATTAAGTACTTAACCCGAGGTACCACTGTATTGGAAATCAACACAATGGGAAAAGGTGGGGGGAGCAAAGCACACACACAGCCACCAGCACCTCAACAAAGCTATGATCAAACAGAAAACCAAGTTCCCCACTGGATGTGGCAGGGGGTGTGGAGGTGGGCTTCCTGTTCCTTTCTGCACCCCTTGAGATTGTTCAGCCAGGTGAAGGAGGAGCTGGAAACAGGTGCACAGCTTCTGCATACTGTGAGTCAAAGGTGGGTGGCAATTTCAGGCTATTAGCAACATCCTTAGAAGCAGCAACTCCTTGCTGCTTCCTAAACAGGCCATTGTTGTAAGCAGCAACACAACAGCAGCTTCCTCCTTCCTAGATCATAGCAAATTCAAAAGCAGGTCAGTATTTTATTTAATAAAATGCCTGCCTCATGTCAAGAGAGCAATTCCCAAGCAGTGGCTTGCATACAAGCCAATTGCTCTGAATTTGCCAAGGTAACTGGGATTGATGTCACATGATGGACAGGTGGATGTGATTTGACCAAAATGACCTCAGGGTTCAAATGGAGAGTCCCGGTAAGCCTAGTAAAATCCATGGGCCAGAGGTTGCCTACCATTGCAGGAGGACCTCTGGCCAGTGATCCAAGTGTGTACCTATAACCTGCTGGAGCATCTTTTGCAATTCATAGAAAGCAGATCTGTTATCCAGCCGATTAAGTGTGTAGTTCATGATCTTCAGTGTGAGTAATCATTACTTCTTTTTCCCCTCTGCCAGGTTCAATTTTATTTACAACTGAATTCCTGAAGTATGTGGTAGAAGCCGTCTCTGTGAGAACAGCTTTAAAATGTAGAAGAGAGAACCTGACACAAAGATTTTTTTTTTATGTCTCCCCCTTCCCCAAACTCTCTACCATCTGAATAGGAAAGTGAATCTTGACTGTTTAGATAGTGGAATGATGAGTGTATTTGCATTTTAATCACCTATGTTGTAATAGTCACTTGACTTTTTTTAAAAATAACATTAAAACAAAATGATCGCCTTTCTGTTTTTGTGTGTTCCTTTTCCCAATGGGACTTGATGAGAGATACCTGCCCACTGATTGATACCACAGCATTGCATGTGAGAATGAAAGAGTACTATCTTCATCCATCTAAATATACCTTTGGAAATGTAGGCCACTTGTTAACTAACTAAAAGCAAGGTCTTTTGCGCACAGGAAACATAGCAGGTGTTGGGACTCAGGTTGACAGCAGGTCTTGAAACAGATGGAGGGAATTGATAACTTGTTCTATCACTCAGTGCAGCCTGAAGGAGGGAACCAAGCTAGGCTAGCAAGGAAGTGTCTGAACAATAAAAGGGCAGTGTTTCAGGTGATGCTGCCTTGTCACATAAAAGTTCCCAGTTTTAGTTTGCTTGCTACTCTTATCAGCAAGAGGAATAACTCCGATTTGGAAAGCTCTGCACTAGTCAGTCATGTGAGGTGGTGCTGAGAATAGCTGATTGACAGGCCGGTTGTCCCAAACGGGCGTAGTGTGAGGGGTGCCAGGGCTCCAGGCGCACAATTTTTGAGGTGGCATGAACCAGGTGCCCCCATGCAGGCGAGCCCAGCACAGCCTGGCGCTCCTCTCCACCCCCTAAGGGCTGTGTCGACTGGCTGGGCTCCCCACTGTGTGGACAGGCAGCTCAGCACAGCCCTGCTTTGCTCCGGTGGGGTCCCTCCAGCAGCATCTGCGGTGAGGGCTGGGGTGCCCCCCACCCCGCCTGGCATGTGTGCACCTGTTCTGGGTGCTGGCAAATGCCACTACACTGCTGGTCTCGACCACCTCAAAGTTTGGCCCCACCCGTTCTGCTAGTTTCTGGATACAGTATTGTCATTTCTGCCCTGTGTCCATTTTATTAATTTAATTTATGGATTTATCTATTCAATATCTATACCACCTTTCATCCAAGGATCACAGGAAATTTTACAATACACAAACACCAGAATACATAACATAGTAACAAAACAAAAACAATAACCTCTCTCTTGCAAGGAGATTGGCCTCCACATTGGGAGATGAGCAGGCAAACAAACTCATAACATTGCGGCTGACGTAATTAGGGCCTATGATAGTGTTTGCTATTTGCTGTTTATAAACAAATGCAGACCTACAACACAAGACTTGTGAGGGAGGGATCAGAAAAACCTTTCTGTTTTGGTGGGACAATCCAGACACATGAATTGGTTACAGAAGTTCTTAAATTTATTTTAGATGCTTTATTGAGGGAGTGTGGAATGTAAATGTAATAATAAATAGTCCATACTGACGCAAGTTCTTTTTTAAAAAATATATTTTTATTATTTTCCTCCTTAAACAATATTTTCGATAATACAATAACACAAAAACTTTTTGCTCTGCTGAGCACATGACTCCTTCCCTTCAGCAGGTTTTCCACTTTCAAGTCCTGTCTCGCAATTTAGTTCTTTAACTTCCATTGTCCACATTGTAGGATTTATTTCAATCCTGCTAGTGTCTTCAAATTTTTGCAATTGTTATTCAAATATACAATAAATTTACTCCAATCCCTTTGAAATTTTTGATCGTCCTGGTCTCGAATCCTGCAGGTCAGTCTGGCCAATTCTGCAAAGTCCATCATCTTCACCTGCCACTCTGCAATTGTAGGTACCTCCTGTATCTTCCATTTTTGGGCCATTAAAATTCTCGTCGCAACTGTGGCATACACTGATGCAAGTTCTTTTGACAGACAGTATTTGAAAAATGTGGGGGCGGGGGCGGAACTGAAATATGCAAAATGTGTCCATGCTATGGGAATTTTATTATTCATAAAGCTTGCAGAGGGCTCCAACCCTGATGTCAACAGATGGAAGATGTGCATGGTGATATCTTCCAGGAGATACAGTATGTACTGTACCCACTCAACTTTGATCTGCACAACTGGCTCTTTTACAATCGTTCTGCACTTGCAAGGAATTGCTTCTTCAAGGTGGAAGCACCAGCCCTTTGGAACTCCTTCCTCATTAATATTAGACAACCACCTCTCTATTGTGTTTGGTGCCTGCTAATTTTATTATTTTTTTAAAAACCCATAGTTTCATCTGTCGTGATGAGGCCAGGGGAGTTTTACAAAGGACTGGAAATGTAAAAGAGTGTGTTACAAGGCAGGGGATTAGTTGGCAACAGAAAGAAAGAAACCTCAATTTTTAAAAACCTAACTATTGGTCAACAGGTATGCACTATATTTTAATAAGATGGGCAGAGAAAATTGGACTACTGTATTCTGAACTGTTTGCAAGAAATGTGTTTGAATATATTGCGTCATATACATACAAACCCATGTCTCACACACAATATATTTATTTAAATTTGCCTGCTCTTCATGTTTACAAGACACCACCAAGGTTACAATGTTAAAATCTAAAGCTGTATTTTAAACATTTAAACAAACTAAGCATTATACACCCAAGCATGCATTACATTGCGTATATAATTAATACACTTTAATTAGAAGTATAACTTTTGGCATAGATTATGCCTGATAATAATAAAGCGTGCGTATACTGTCCGTAGTGTGTGTGTCTAACATATTGTGTGTCTAAAATAATATTTTGTGTGGTTAATATATGCACACAGCACAGAGCGTGCGTGTTTGCCTGTGTCTAGGTGTCTAAAATATATGTAGGGGGTGTGTTGTGTTAGATGTGTCAGCGTATTCCGACAAGAAACCCGCCCCGCGCGGCCTGTTCCCCCCAAATCCACCCACCTTTCCCTCTGTCCGTCCCCTTTCTGTATTTCCCCTTCCATATTTCCGCGCCCGCCGGTCACTGCCTGGGAGGGGAAGGCTCAGCTGGGCGGCCTGTCTCGTCCCTCCACCCCCAAGTCAGCGCCGTCCGCCTTCTCTCGCAGCCCGAAGCTGAGCGTCTTCTTCGCCCCTGGCCGGAGAGGCCTCCGCCTCCGAGTCAGTGGGCTGGATTCGCTCCGCTTGCCGCGACGGAGCGGGCGGGCTCCTGAGGGAGGCGCTCATTCGCTCGGGAAGAGGCCCCGGGGCGGCCAGCAGCGGGCGGGCGGGCGGGCGACTGCGCGGCTTTCGCTCCCGAGTTCCGTGCGTGTGGGCCGGAGTCAGCGGGAGTAGGCCTCTCCCTGCGGGCGCTAGGCCGTTGCCGGGAGACCCCGCGGACCGCGCTAGCGAGCCCGGGCTGGAGCCCGCCAGGCCTCCGCGATGCCGCTGCTCTTCTTGGAGCGCTTCCCTTGGCCCAGCTTGCGCACTTACACGGCGCTCAGCGCCCTGGCCTTGCTGGGCAGCAGCCTCAGCGCCTACCGCGCCCTCAGCCAGGCCGCCGAGCACACGGAAGAGCCCCCCGGGGTGCGGCTGCAGCAGGAGACCGGAGGAGGAGAAGGAGGAGAAGAAGGAGAGGAGGGCGACCTGTCGCCGCGGGCCGGGCCGGCCGCCCTGGACGTCGCCTATTACTTGCTCTCCGACAGCCTCTGCGTTTGGGTGAGCCGCCCGGGAAGGGAAGGCGAAGCGGGGCCTGAGGGGATTCCTTGGAGGTGGGGAGGCGTGATCCCCGGGGTCAGTGGGAGATAGACGGCCTGGGGAATAGGCCCCGGGTGGGGTGTGCGAGGGGGATCACTTCGAAGAAAGGTGCGAGGAGGACGGGGCTGCTGAGGGCGAATTTGGAGACGGGGCAGGAAGGGGCGCCTGATTTGGGGGAGAAGGAGAGAAGTCATGGGGCACAAGTGGCCCACCTGTAAAGGAGGAACACCTCTGGGCAACGTGGGGTGGGAGCCAACAACCCCACTCAGGTCGGTGGGCTGGATCCCACGAAGTTGTCCTCGGAGTAGACCCAGTGAAATTAATGGGTGCAAGGTTGTGGGACTAGGCCCACTGAAATCGCTAACACTTAAGCATGTCTGAGTCTGGATCCAGCCCCATTGGTGAGTTTTTTTACGGAAGAGAAGGTGCCTGCAGGAGAGGAGGGTATTGTGGGGAGTGGGCACCTGATGTTTGGAGGGAGTAGGGCAGGGGCCAGCAAACTTTTCCAGCAGGGGGCTGGTCCACTGTTCCTCAGACCTTGTGGGGGGCCGGACTATATACATATATTTGGGGGGAGGAAATGAACGACTTCCTATGCCCCACAAATAACCCAGAGATGCATTTTAAATAAAAGGACACATTCTACTCATGTAAAAACACACTGATTCCCAGACCGTCCACGGACTGGATTTAGAAGGTGATTGGGCCAGATCTAGCCCCCGGGCCTTAGTTTGTCTACCCATGGAGTAGGGTGTATCTCCCATCTTATTCCCCATAGACACCCTTCACAGCAGTAATTCCCTGGCCAATATGCTCCTCCCTCTCAAAGAGGCCCAAAGAAATGTGGTCCTTGTGGGGTGGGCCCAGAGGGTTGGGTCTTGCAAGGTGTAGCGACATAGTGGGACACACTGGTGAAAATATTAGGAAAGAGGATATAGATTTCTCTTTCCCGCACGTTATGGGATGTGTGTGTTGTAGGGGATGTTCAAGGTAGCATCAGGGTGATGAGAGTAACTCTGCATGGCATGGTGTGGGTATAATGACAGGGAATAGGGTATGTATGCCTAAGGATCAGTGCAGGGATTACATGTGCTTGTTTGGGGAAGAGGGTGCTAGTCACCCACTGCTCCCTGACATTCTGTTCCTATTTGCACATCTGAGTAGATGGGGGGAGCATTTTTTGGCAGAGTGATAAAGCTGGCAGAAGGAGAAGGCATCTGAAAGGCAAATGTAAAGATCGTTAAGGGTCAAAAAGTGTGGGGACAGAGTAGCAGATTAGGGAGTACTAAGGGTTACTCCTTGTCCCTAAGTAAATATTTAGTGGAAAAAAGTAGTTGCTGGAAGTGGTTTTGATTCTTTAAGGAGTAGCTAGGGAAGCGAGGGATGCTGGCCTAGGAGTTTTGGGGATACATGATAGACAGCACCTAGAAGAATAAGGGGGCAGTGTAGTAACAAGAACGTGATGGTGCTAATGAAGAGAGTTCATTTAATGTTGATTCCAACATTGTCTGGTTGCCTTGTATTCTCTTTTTTGCCTTGTTCTGAAGGGGTATCCCTAATTTCAAAGTATCTTGACTCCATAGTTGTCTGGTTCAGGGGATTTGCAAGGTACTTCAGGACTTTAATTTTATTTCGGCTATTTGTGAGTTGCTTTTCAGGACCAAGTCGTCACAAAATGACAGAGAGAAAGAAATACAATAGAACCTCAGGCAGAATATGAAGCATTGAGAGGATGCAGACAAATAGATGTATTGGAGATACCAAAATTCTCTTAAGGAAAGGCAGTAGTAAAAATATAAGTTGATGGCTTTCCTGAAAGTCAGAACTTAAGGGGCCAAAGCAAATATTAAGTCGAAGACAGTTCTCCAACTACAGAACCCTATTGAAAAGATCCTGTGTTGTGTGCTCAGCACCCTAATTGTTTTCCTGCCCAGAGTGGCTGGGGCAGCCTAGGACTCAGCTAGACTAGAAAAGAAAAAGTGATTTATATGCATTGTAAAAGCAAGATGAGCGCCGCAACCCCAGAGTTGGTCATGACTGGACCTAATGGTCAGGGGTCCTTTTACCTTTTACTATGTGCGATATAACATTGTACCACCAGATGGCAAGCTGGAGTCTCATTTTTCTCTAAGTGTTTTCCCTGTTTAAATTTACAACACTTTAAACTGAAACGCTTCTTTGATGTGTCTAGATCCAGCCCCAGTCAGTTGGGCAGCTAATAATAATAATAATAATTTCACCAACAGACACACAAGGAGGACCTCAGACACAGTTCTTAAATTTACAGGTAGGGTCATATGAGAGCAGGCTTCATTTTAGATGATACAGTCTTGAACCATTTAGGACTTTGCAGGTTAAACCATTTAGGAATTAATAATTTTATTATTTATACCTCGCCCATCTAGTTGGGTTTCCCCAGCCACTCTAGGTGGCTTACAGTATATCTAAAAACATAATAAAAACGTCAAGCATAAAAATTTCCTGATACAGGGTTGCTTTCAGATGTCTTCTAAAAGTTGTGTAATTCTTTATCTCCTTGACATCTGAAGGGAGGATGTTCCACAGGGAGGAATTGGGCCCAGACATTGATGATGATGATGCCATAGAATGTTAATCAGCTAGAGGCCTGGTTATAGAGAAATGTTTTTGCCTGGCACCTAAAGATATGTAATGAAGGCATCAGGTGATTTTTGCTAGGGAGAGCATTCCACAAATGAGGAGCCACCGCAGAAAAAGCCCATTCTTGTGTTGCTACCCTCCAGACCTCTTGTGGAGGAAGCACACAAGGGCCTAAGATGATGATTGCAGGGTCCAAGTTGGTTCATATGGGGATAGATGGTTCTTGAGGTAATGCAGTCTTGAGCTATTTAAGTCTTTATAGGTCAGAAGCAGCACTTTGAATTGGGTCCGGAAACTGATTGGCAGCCAGTGCAGTCAGGCCAGGATTGGCGTTACTGTATATGCTCAAACCAACTTGCCCCAGTGAGCAACCTGGCTGCTGAATTCTGCACCAGCTGAATTTTCCTGTCTTCTGAGGCAACCTTACATATAACATGTTGCAGTAATCTAAGCTAGAGGTTAGCAGAGCATAGATACCAGACCTGAGGCTATCCCTGTTCATATAAGGATGCAGTTGGGCCCCCAGCCAAAGCTTATTGAAGACACTCTGCACTACTGAGGATACCTGACCACCAGGCTATGTACCCACTCCTTCAGAGGGATTGTAACCCCATCATGAGCATGCAACCTCCCTTCCATCCAATCTAGGGAACCACCCACTAACAGTTACTTAGTGTTACCTGGATTGAGCTTCAGTTTGTTGGCTCTCATCCATTTCATTACTGAGACAAGGCAACAGTCCAGCACATCCATTGCCACACTTGTAAATCTAAAGGTGAAGTAATGCTGTGTGTCACCAGCATATTGCTGATGACATACTTCAAAACTCTGGATAACCCCATTCAGTGCTTTCATGTAGAAACCACTGAGTGGGGATTAAACAGCACAGGGGATAAAATAGAGCCCCAAATTGAATGCTTTACAGGGCCTCCCCAAGTATCACCCTCTGGAAATAATAATCCAAGTTGAACTGGAACCACTGCAAAACAGTGCCACCCAGCCCTAAATCGGAAAGCTGTTCTAGAAGACTGTCATGGTCATTGTTATCAGCCAAGAGGAGCAATGTTGCCCTGACCGATTCAAGCATTTTGTCCACATCCTTGAGCCTTCCTAACCGAAACACATCCAACACAAGGACTAGACAGTGCTCTGGACATTCCTTGAGATTCATCTGATGTAACAGCAGAGTCAAGATCCCAGTGGATGCAGGTGATTTTATCCTCAAATGCTTTGCAAACAAGTCACAGCAAGCTACTGTCAGTTCTCCCACCTCATTTGGACCAGACTGTAAGGGGCCCCCCACACCTGCAAAAGCTCTGCCAGATGGCACATTGAAGATGCAATGGAGGCAGCAAAGTCTGCTTCAGGAGGCAGCAGCAGCTGCATAAAATGACTTTGGCCCCTGAGTCATAGGTTATAGAGTTTTGTCCTACTCAGTGCTTCCTAGATCTCCCCAGCATAATCTCCCACAGCTCTTACACAAGGTCAGTGTTGGCAATTTGTGACACAGGAAATATATCTTAAGTACACCTCAGGCATGGTATGAGCAGGCTAGTTCCTTGGTGTCAATGAAGTGATCTGCCTTCCAGAAGATTCTCTGGCCAGTTTTAAACTTGTAGAGCAAGGTCATTGCCTTGGGGTTGTTGTTAATGCTTATGCAACCTGATCAGTGGCCTCAGTCCTATTGCTGCAGGCTAAGATTATGCTTGAGCTATGTATTTCATGTTTGCCCAGAGTGTGTGGAGAAATACACAGGGGTTACTTAAATTTTGCTGGCTGCATTCTGAAGCTAACATTCAAAAGTTGTACACCTCAGTTCTCATCTGCTTTACCTGATTTTGTAAGTGAAATAAGACAGCGTACTCGATGCATTTGATAAGTGCCTATAAAATCTCATGCCAAAACAGCAGGTAGAGTTCAGTTCAGTTAGCGTTCAATTCTGTACATCAGAGGTGGAGAACCTCATGCCTGGGGTCTGAATGTGGTCCTCCAGGCCACTCTGCCTGGCCCTTGGGACTTTATGCCACACACTCACCAGGTCTACTCTGCAACATTCTCAAGTGATTTTTCCTTTCTGGAATGTGTCTTTGAACTGTGATAATGCCACTTCCTTGTCTGGATAGAGAGAGAAAAGTGTGTGTGTGTGTGTGTGTGTGTGTGTGTGTACACAGACACACACACACACACAGAATTCTAACATTTGCAGAATTCTGTCTTTAATGGCCTTGCTGTACAAAGTTAAGAGTTGCATCCATTGCTTTTGCTTAGGCTCCTGTGTCCATTTGTGGTGTCAGGGCAGGATCTGGGGCCAGAAATCTAGGGCCACAATATGCAGCAAGACTGGCTGATCACATTTGAAGTAATACATGCTACGATCTAAGAGCTGGGGGCCTATGACCATTAGGTTCAGGGTCTAACCCAGGCTTCCTCAATCTCGGCCCTCCAGAAGTTTTTGGCCTACAACTCCCATGATCCCTAGCTAGCAGGACCAGTGGTCAAGGAAGGTGGGAATTGCAGTCTCAAAACATCTGGAGGGCCGAGGTTGAGGAAGCCTGATCTAACCTCATCACTGCCCCTGTCTAGTAACAAAGCATTCTGACTTTGCCTTGGTTAGGACTGAAGACCCATTCACATTGTATAGCTATTTCAATCTGATTATTTTTGTGCTCTAATGTTCACTGAATTGAAATTACACACTTGACCCAGAATATCACTTAACTGATAAAGAGGTAGAGCACTTCAGTTATTTCAGTTTTTGAAAGAGAGTTTGTAAGCCTTGAATATCCTGCACTTCATAAATTTATTTATTTATAAAATATTTATATACTGCTGTGTAATTAAAATAATCATAGTGGTTTACAGCAATAAAACACAAAATCATATTTTAAAAACTGTATAAGCAAGTTAAAAAGACGTTAATCATTGTGAAGAGGCAAGCTTGCACATGAGTCTTTTGGGGGTATTTCAGATGCAAGATGTATTATCCTGGGGAGGTGACTTAGCCTTGTTAGTCTTCAATATTTTTCAGCAGAGTTCTATGAACACCTGAAATCCGGGTGCCTTTGGCCAGCCTTCAACAGTGGCATGTATTCTTGCGCAGCAGGAGCCACGTGTGATCATTGTCTGATATTTGAACAGTGGTGATTCTGTAAACGATTGCTAATTGAAGACATCAATCACTCACCAGGATTACCCGCATCCTTACAATTGTGTCGTTCAAACTCTTTCCTTTCTCACAGCCTCTGGGGAAGTCTGCAATGTTCAGTGAGATTTTCATCACTTATTTATTTCTCATCACTTGTTTATAACTGTGAGCTGCCCCAGCATTAACAGTATCAAGAGTCTTTTAAGAAAAAGTTATAGCAAAAATGTTTTTCTTTTTCTCACCATTTACTTTCAATACTATAACTCCTAAACATTTTTCAGTGTTTATGAATAGTCATAAATATGAATTGCGACATAAATAACAATAGTAGGATAACTTTGACAAAGATATCTCAACGTCTACTATGTCTTGCAAAGGGAGTCTTGTGTTTCATCTTTGCAATAGAAATTGGTCATGTTGTAACATTATGACAAACCAGAGTTGCTGAATTTTTGTGGTTTCTTTTGCACAGGCAGAAATCTGCACACAGCCTGATTGCTCCCATTTGCTCCTCCACTGGCAAAGCCAACCAATAAGCTGTAATTGAGCTTGGCTTCCCATGAAAGTCACACTCCCCAGGATCATGGTTTATTTCTTAAAAACAAGCCAGGACAGCAAACCATGGTTGGAGGTCAGCTAGTGACCCTGGTTTGTTAGGGAGCCACAGACCACAATCCCTAGTTAGATGTCATGGGAAGCAGAACTTAAATGCAGCTTTCTGACTTGTTTCTCCTGCTCACGCCAGAAGCAACTGGCCATTATGCATGAGAACACATGATTAGTTGGCAACGCTGGTTATAATAATGCACTAATGCAGTCAGTGAGCAAGGGTCAAACTGCAGATGGATGAGAGAGTTGGAGCCTTTCCTCTGTTTGCTGCATTACCCCATGAAACACCCCCCCCCCCGAGACTGACTGAGAAAGCTATAGGCTGTTGTAAAATCTTGTTTAATTGATGTAAAATCTTGTTTAATTCTGCTATTACGAATGAAGCAGTAAACTTAGTTATATACAAATCTTGCTGGTAAGTGTGACTGTATTTTTAAATGTAGAAATTTGGTTGCACAATTTTTAAGAAACATAGCTCTTCGCTTTCAGAATTCGACATTTTGGAAATGCATTGTACTATTGTTCACATTGTGCTATCTGGGTTACAAACCACAGACTTGAGTCTTGAGGTCTGTTCAGCTGGGAACGTTGAGCAGCATTCATTTTCATTTAAAAAGGCAAAGGCAAACTGGCTCAGCACATTTTTATGTTGTTTGGTTCATGCTCTTATTTGACTTATTAAACAATATACAGTGGTACCTTGTGTTACGGACAGGATCCATTCCGGAGGCCCGTCCGTAATGTGAAATGCCTGCAGCTCAAAGCGCTGTGTCTGTGCAGGCGCGTGGTGCAATTTGGCACTTCTGCGCAGGCGTGAAGCGCGATTTAGTGCTTCTGCGCGGGCATGAGCAGCAAAACCTGGGAGTAACCAGTTCTGGTACTTCCGGGTTGCTGTGGGATATAACGTGAAAAGATGCAACACAAAGTGGACGCAACACGATGTATGACTGTATGGAATTTTAAACTGGGGGAAGTATTGTTTTTGTTTGTTACCATGTTATATATTTTTATATTGTAAACAACCTTGCGATTTGTTGAAATGAATTGTTGTATACAAATATTTGTATAAACAAAACAATAACATAGGTTAATGGAGGTATTTTCTTGTATCCTAGGATGTCCTCTTTTCCAGGGAACTTCCAACATACGTAGCCTTTAATATTATCTGCTTAGGAGGGAGAGAACCTAATAACCACCATTTTACACCGCTAAACACTTGAAGGAGGCCAAGGCTGATCACAGTTGGGAGAAACATGGTTCTTGTTCAGTTGGGCAAATTGGCCAGGGGGTTCCAAACCAGTGAGTTTTAATGGAAGAGAATTCATGTTGAGACTCAAGACAGGATAGGCATAACATATAAATATATTTTATTTTTTGTTCCAGGTACTGGTGAATACGGCTTGCTGTATTTTGATGCTGATTGCTAAACTAATACAGGGTGTTGTGTTTGGTCCCCTCCGTGTTAGTGAAAGACAGGTAAGAAAGGCCTGTAGGTCTTGCTGGTGGGTAGACTTAACAAAAAACTTTGTGATAGGTGGATTTGTGATTTTCATTTTTCATCTGGGAATATTTAACTTCCAGGCATATGTTCGTACGTAACCTTCTTCCTCATTCACTATATATAGAAAATAAAGTCTTGCTTACATGTATATCTTGATCTGACCATGGTATGCAGATCAATTCAGGTAATTATAGGTAGTACAGAGATTCAAAACGTAGGCTGTGTTGCTTAGAGAGGTACTGGCTCAGCTCCAAAGTTGAGAGGCCTTTGATTATACTAGATTAGAGAACAGATGGGGAATCTGTGGCTCTCCAGATGTTGTGGCTCTCCAAATGTTGTTGCACTAGAGCTCTCATCATCCCTGACCACTATCCACACTGGTTGGGACTGATGGGAGTTGTAATCTAAGAACATCTGGAGGACCACAGGCTCACCATCCTTGTATTAGAAATTGCTGCTGAGATATTTTGATGGAGGATGGTATATAAATATATATATATTTAAAAATAATGTTAATAGAGGAAGAAGAGTTATGCTTATGTACTCTAAAATGAATTATGGGTTTGAAAATGAAACCTAAGAGACTTTGGCCACCCTCATTAAGCCATAGACTAGAATTTTCAAGCAGCCTAACAAGCAACAACATCCTAATTACAGAGGAAAACACCCAATTTCTCAATAGTTCTTGAACTTGCAGCATGTACATGTGCAATCCGAGTAGTAATACATACCCTTGTGGGGTTTGTGTAGACCAGGTTTTTGACAGATTTTTTAAACAATCCACCATTTTTGTAGTATCCTCCAGAATAGCTTACAACTATCATTATCTGTGACCATTGGCCAAGCTATCTGGGGTTGATGGGAGTTGTAGTCCACACAATCTGGAAGGCAACACTTTGACTAACCCTGTCTTAAGAGTATAGCCTGCACCATATTTTTCTATCTCTTACTTGCTAGTAAGGACCTCTTGCATTTTAAAGAATCAATGGTTTTGAGGGTTAGATGACAACGCTCCACATCTAAGGTAGATTCTTAGCTAAGAATGTGGGGATAACCCCTCAGCATAATAACTTTAACAGCTGTTTTCATGTGTGTGTCAGTAGCTCCATTCTTGAAGAACTCTTTTTAACTACATGTACAAATCTCTTTCAGCATCTCAAGGATAAATTTTGGAACTTCATCTTCTACAAGTTCATCTTTATTTTTGGTGTACTAAATGTTCAGACGGTGGAAGAAGTGGTCATGTGGTGCCTTTGGTTCTCTGGGCTCGTGTTTCTGCATCTTATGGTTCAGCTCTGCAAGGATAGGTTTGAATATGTAAGTTTTGGCTGGTGGTTTGAAGTTGAGGATGAGAGTTCTTTTATACAGGAGTTTATGTCTAAACCACTGAGCCTAGGGCTTGCTGATCGGAAGGTTGGCGGTTCGAATCCCCACGACGGGGTGAGCTCCCGTTGCTCAGTCCCTGCTCCTGCCAACCTAGCAGTTTGAAAGCACGTCAAAGTGCAAGTAGATAAATAGGCAGAAAGGTAAACGGCGTTTCCGTGCGCTGCTCTGGTTTGCCAGAAGCGGCTTAGTCATGCTGGCCACATGACCCGGAAGCTGTACGCCGGCTCCCTCGGCCAGTAAAGCGAGATGAGCGCCGCAACCCCAGAGTCGGCCACGACTGGACCTAATGGTCAGGGGTCCCTTTACCTTTATGTATTCTCTTGACAAAGAAATCTAAAGTTGATACGTAGATTAAATGATGGAAATCAGTTTGAGTTGTTTATTTTTGCTTGAGCTTGTCGATCACCTCAGCTTGTAGATCTATGGTAAAGAACAAATAAATACTGGAAGGCTTTTCAGCATATACCTCCTGTTCAAGTTGCGCTTGAGAGTTCAGTCTATGTGCCAGTTTTCTGTGCTTTTTTCAAGTTCTTTAACATGCTTTGGTTCTGCAGGAATTCATTGTGTTTTGGAAGTAAATAGGCGCAACTGATGTTTTCCAATGCCTTCATTTGTATATTTCAGCTCTCGTTTTCACCCACCACACCAATGAACAGTCACATCAGAGTCCTGACCCTGCTAGTAGCTATGCTTCTTTCCTGCTGTGGACTAGCAGTTGTGTGTGGTATTATTGGCTATACCCATGGAATGCACACATTATCTTTCATGGCAGCAGAGGTGAGATTTCTTGTTAGTGTGAGATTAATGTGCTCAACTTTTTCTGGTTAGCCTTTTTTTTGTGCAACCTTGTTTGTGTATGCTCTAATTGTCTAGCAGAATATATCAGAATTTATTTTTGATTCATAGAGTATCCACTGAATAGGGCTTACTGCATTTTTATGCTCAAGATTATGAATATTTTTTGCAGAAAGCAGAGTGAGCAGTTAACATTCTGTTGTCTGGGCTTAGGAAAACTCAAGCCACTATATGAAAAATTGGTAAATGTCGCCTGTTTGAAATAATTGCCATCTGTATTAAGTTCTAATACACTTAAGGGTTCTAAAATATATTTTAATTCAGGATGATTCACAGCATTCATTCATAACTGAGTTTGTGAGCCCTTTGATCTCCAGGAGTCCCCTAAACTAAATGAGTATAAGAGAAGGAAAGGAAAGAGAAAAATCTAAATTTAAATGAATAACCAGTTGTATAGAAAAGGAAATAATGGTTGCAAGAGCCATCTTCTACAAGCTAGTGCCTTTCAGGACTACAATTTCCATCAGTCTCAACCATCATAACCAATGGAATTATGCTTATTTGAACATACAGTAGCACATGCAAATGCTCTCCTCCCATAACTTGTGAGGAGGCAAGTTGCCCAATAATGCCTGTAGTAGCAGTTTTGGTGAGCAGAGGAGGAATTACTGAAAAAAGACACCAGACAATGTTTTTAAAATGAAAATTTAATTAATTAACAACACCACCACCAGAGCTGTACCAAATTCAGCCATCAAGGACATCTCTTTTTATACGTGGCTTATTATTTTCTTATTTCCTTATACAACAAGCTACTACTTGTGGCTCTGACCTTTTAAAAAATAAATGGAAATCTGAAAGAAATATAATCCTCTTATGTCTTATGACAAATGATTATATCAGTTTTCACTTTCATCACTAACCATTCTTAAGCTTGTTCCCTAGAACAATGAGAACCATTTGCAAGAAGCTCCCTTCCCGCCCTGATCAGTCTTCCAAGGGGAAGGGTTTACAGACCGTCTATTGTATGGTACCATTCTGTTCCTTTCTGAAGGATCCTTTCTAAATCCTGGAGCTTATTCCTTCCCATCTTGGGCATATGCAGGAAGACAGCATAGACTTGTTAGCAAAAGTTTAATACTGAAATTTAAGAAGCACATTTTGTCCTGTCTGTCTGGAAAATCAGTTTTCTTGTTTTTCTAGTTCTCTGCCTCAGGTTTCTAGTTCTCTTATCAGATTTCAAAAAATTCCAGTGAATTGTTTCCTCTTTTTGTTCCCTACAGTCCCTACTTGTTACTGTGAGAACTGTGCATGTGATTTTACGGTAAGTAAAAGATTGGGGTTTAGGTAGGTAACAAAGGGCATGTGTTTGATTTCACATACAAAGCATGTTTGTTGTGAGGAGCATGCTTCAGATGTCAAACTGTTCTTCCTTTTCTGTTTTTTATTTACCCATGCAATTATTTTCAATAAATTATTGAAGGGGATTGGGCAACCTTTGGCCCTCCAGAAGTAGCTGGACTTCAACTCCCAGCATTCCTGACCCTTGACCCTACTGACTGGGGCTGATGGGAGTTGGAGGCCAATATCTGTGTTACCGCTGAATTGCAGGATGGTATGCTTTGTTTTATGTAAAAAGCATAGAATGAAACATTAGCATATTAAAATATAATGGTGTTATTCTGAAACTTTGGGTTAAATTATAGTATTTAAAAAGGCATGCAGTAGGACGAGGATGTACAGATTGATCAACACCAAGGGCCACATCAGAGTGACTATCATGAGATAGAACTCATCTGATTTTCATATTAAACTTAAAAAAAAAATAGTACTCTCTTCTTCTAATGGTATAGTGACCGCTTCAGTCTGGCTGGTGCACCTGTTCTTATATTCTTACTTATTCAGCAAATGAGTTAAATGAGTCAGTCTTAAGAAGATGTCTGATTTTATCAACATTAAAGTTGAAAAATATAATGCACTTGTGTCTTCCTCGCCTCCTTTAACATCTTAGATTGTTTGCCTCAATATTTTCTATTTTTTCTTTGTAGCTTTAAGGACTTCAAACTTCTGTAGAAAAAATATGCAGTTAAATCAGAGTGGTTTATGGAATTTATATAGGTTCCTTTGATCAGATCTCTGGTGCAGTATGTGTTTTGGAGGCTAATTTTTTCCAAATGGATATTTTTAATTCAAATGAAAGTGTTAAAATTTAGATTCATATTTTAAAACTGTCAATAAGTGCCAGGGTTTAAAATCAAATCTGAATCAAAATGTTTAATATAAACATGTTATCTATTCACTCATAATCTCTTCCATCTTAATATGAGTTAAATATATATATATATGTAAAAGACTGTATCAGGAATGGTGGGCTGGCATTACACACATGATACAGTGGATTCTTGTATATCTTCTTGTGTGAGCTGTAAATATTTACTTAGATTGTTAGCCACAATTATTTTATTAAATTTGTATATTGCCCATCATCCAAAGATCACAACATAAAAATTCAAAATGAGAACATAGATACATAATAAAAACAAAAACAAACCAATAACTTCAACAAGCACATCTGAAATGCCATAGATTGTTTAATCAACCAAAGGCCTAGTTATAGAGAAACGTCTACTCCTGATGCCTAATGATATGTAATGAAGGCACCTGGCGAGTCTCCTGGGGAGAGGATTCCACAAGTGGGGAGCCACTGCAGAAAAGGCTTGTTCTCCTGTTGCCACCTTCAGACCAGGATTGGTGTAATATACTGAGATCGCATTATTTTCCTCAAGTAAGGACACTCAGGTCTCTGAGCTTTGACTCCACCTGCCTTTGTCATGCCTATCCTGGCCAAGTAAGGGGAGAGGGGAGAATAGAGCCCACATGATGTATAACCCTTCTTTACAGATGTGCTTTAGGTGAGCAGGTATGTACTAGTTTGTGTTAAGAATGAGTCTTTCTTTAATGTTGATATTTCTAAAACTGGAAAATGCTTTTCAAATAATACAGTGTTCACTCCTTCCCTCACTTAGGTATGTCATTCATCTCTGGGATCTCAACCATGAAGGTACCTGGGAAAGCAAGGGAACGTATGTTTATTACACAGACTTCATCATGGAGCTAATGCTTTTGTCACTGGATCTGATGCATCACATTCACATGCTGGTATGCATTGTTAACTGATAAATCATGGCCTATATAGAATGGGAATAATATAGAACTGGCTTTTATAGAAGTGTTTAAAAACACCTTTATTGTTACTATTTATGGCTTGTTACGTCCTGCATCCTTAAGCCATACTAAAGAAGGGTTGTGAGCATGTGGGGAGAGAACTGTGTGGGAGAGAACTTCAGCTTTGATTGCTATTTTTGCTGCAGTATTTCCTGCTGTAGAAGAGAAGAGCCACTTTCTCTTCTGGACTCTCTGATTGTGGGACCTGCTGTGGTTAAAACAGCAAGCAGAGCTCTATTTATGGATAACACTGCTGCTTTTGAAAATTAAAAGTTTTCCCAAAGTGACATACAATTGATACCATAAAACATTTAGTGGCAGCCCACCTTGTTATAGCCCAGAGATGGAAATAGGGTTCAAATTTTACAATCAATAACTGGCTCAAAAATACTTCCTCTGTAAACTGCGGGAGCCTGCAGTGGCCATAATCTTCATTTGGGCCTACCTTTAAAACCAGCCTGAAACATGGGACCCATTTTTACCTTCTATCTAAATGGCCCCATGTGTCACTTTCAGCCCTACAATTCCGTGTTTCTGTGCTGTTGTCACTCTAGTTAGGTCTTTCTCCTCCTTCCTTAATATGGGGGGGGGGGGGGAGAAGTTTGTTGCTGTTTGGAAGCTCAAACTAAGCAACACTCTGAATGAGAACTCCATGAGCAGCTTGTTTCTAGTAAACTCAGAAAGAGTGCTGTGGCAGCTTTTAGGATGTGGCTGCATTGGGACTTCAAAGAGAGAGCCATATGCACAGTAGGCTAATTTCTGGCATTGTCTTTTTATTGCCTGGTGTGTTACCATGCCATTCATGTCATTCTCTTCTTTCTCTCCCTGTCCACCCACACCTTCACTTATGTGCTGCTGGATTACTTAATGCTCTTTTAAACATTTGTTTGGAAGCTGTTTGGCAATATCTGGTTGTCAATGGCCAGCCTGGTGATCTTTATGCAGCTGCGTTACCTGTTTCATGAGGTTCAGCGCAGACTTCGTCGCCACAAGAACTATCTCCGTGTGGTTGGAAATATGGAAGCGAGGTGAGCAAGTTCCTCTAACTGCGCAAGACTAGGAGAGAGTCCAGTCTCACAGTGTTTTCTTTTAGGGTTGTACCCAGTGTTAGTCATGCTCAGAGTAGATGCATTGAAACATGACTAACTTAGGCCCATTAATTTCAGTAGGTCTGTTCCGAGTAAAACTTAGTCGGAGACAACCCTTAATTTCCTTGCCATCTGACTGTTACAAAACTGGTTTGCGAGGAGTAAACTTGCTGATCTTCACAATTCCAGTGATGATATGGTAATTTAATACTTATACCACGCCCAACTGACTGGGTTGCTCCAGCCACTCTGGGCAGTTTCCAGCATAATAAAAGCACAGCAGAATGTCAAACATTAAAAATCTTCCCAATACAGGGCTGCCTTCAGATGTCTTCAGAAAGTTTTGTAGTTGAAAACAAGGATAGGCTTATTATTATTATTATTATTATTATTATTCCTTATCAGTGTTTCTTTCAAGGCTGTTACCGGATGAACTTAACCTTGGATGATTAATTCACGAGTCTTAATTGTTTTCAAATCAATTGGGGGATGGCAGAGTGGGAGCCTGAAGCTCCTCGGGGTCTGTTGTAATGACCAGCTATGGCCTGGTGTTATTTCTGAAGAGGCCCTTGGTGAACTAGCTGAGCAGGTACCAGTATTTTGATTCTCCCAGTTCCACCATAAATAGGCACTGAAAAGGCATCCTCTTTGAGTCGCAGCTGGATATCTTTGCACAGATGGCATTTTGGTCTAGCTAGATACCATAAAGAGCCATATGCTGATGGTGGTGTGACCATATTGGCTGTCTCTTTGTGCCAGACCCAGATCATCAAACCGTCACCTGCCTTGAACCACCATTGGCAGGATTGTCAGCAGAAGCAATGTTCTATGCTTATGATAATATCTTATTCTCATGTTAATTATGCTGTTTTAAATGAACATTTTATATTTAACTTCCTTTAGTAATTTCTACTTATGAAACCAGTGGCGTAGCGTGGGTTGTCAGCACCCGGGGCAAGGCAAGTAATTTGCGCCCCCTAACCCCTCCGCACCGCACCGCACCGCACGCCCGGCACCGCCCCCCCTCCACAGTGGGCGGCGACCCGGCAGCTCGGATCGGATTCGCACAGCCAGCACTGCAGTGAGAGAGAGTGAGTGAGCCAGGTAGGGGCAGAGAGCTGCGAGTGCGGCCGGCCCCCCCTGCACCCCCCACGCTACGCCACTGTATGAAACATTAAAGATAATTATTTTTGTTAATTTTGCTGTGTTAAATGTGCATTCTGTAGTTGCCCTCCTTTTATTTTGAAATCTTTATGATAATACGTTAGTTTCCAGTTAATTACATTGCTTTGAATGTATACTTTTTACAGTATTTGACTTTCTTCAGTAATGTTTTATCTGAGGTTTTAATGTCTAGTAAACTGCTGTGAGGTTTTTTTCTTTATAAAGTAGTTTAGAAATACTATTATTATTATTATTATCAATCATAACCATAATCTTCACTTCTCTTCTAGGTTTGCGGTGGCAACACCTGAAGAGCTGGCAACCAACAATGACGACTGTGCCATCTGCTGGGATTCCATGCAAGCTGCACGTAAACTCCCTTGCGGGCATCTTTTCCATAAGTACGCTCCTGGGGAGCAAACCAGGGTAGAACAAGTAGTGTGCTCTAATTGTCTGTAGTTAATGGTTGAATCTCACTAGACACTCATTTTGTCATTTTCATCTTTTCTTTTTTTTTAAGAAAACCAATTCAACACTATATATACTGGTTTTCCTTGTTAAAAGTCATGGAGGAGTTGCCTGTCCTGTTCTGGCTGTACCCAGTGTAGACTGTGACATAGGAATGTAGTCTTCTAACAAAATTCGCGGGACAGAATTTTTATATACTTATCCAGGACTGCAAAAATTAGTTTAATGTACAGAAGCCAACATTGATAGTGCAATCTTCTCAGTACTTTAAAAAATGCACATTTTTTCCTCTACATCTTACATAGTATGAGTGGTCTCCAATGTGGCACATCTCCAGCGCCTAAATACTTGCAGCCCAGATTTTCAACATTGTCAATAACTTCAGGTCGGAGATACAGTTTTAAAGACTCTGGAAGGCTGCACATAGTCCATCCTATCTTGTAACCCTCACAAGGTTACAGCAGTCGACCAATGTAGCGGCTCAGCCACACTTAATAACAAAGCCAGCAAATTAATGATTAAAACCTTACCTGACCTCATATCAGATCATTCTATGTCTGCATGTAAGGAGAGAGTATGTTGCTTGATTTGGTATTCATGAAATATTGGGATTTCAAAAGGGCTTAACGTTCTGTTGGTTATCAGACCTGTGTACCATTTCATGCAATGTATTCCCACCCGTCCCCCAGTACATTTGGATACAGGAATAACTCTATTTACCAAGGACATACACACACCCTTCTGGTTTACAGTGCAATCCTAACCTTGCCTGCATAGGAGTAATTCCTATTGCATTAGATGGGTCTTACCTCCAGGTAAGTGTAGATAGGACTGCAGTATTAGATTTTTAATAACTGATTTATTAGCCACATTCATGAAGGATAGTGGTTCTTGGCCAGGTCCTGCTGAATGCCTCTTGCTGGAGGGGCAAACTTAATGGCAGGCTCTTGCCATCATACCTTGCTGGTGGTCTTTGTGGAAGCCTTTGTCTGCCCACTCTTGGAGGCAGGTTGCTGGACTGGGTAAACATTGAGTCTTATCCAACAGGATTTGTCTTATCCAATATATGAAGTATTCCTTGATAGGTGTGTCATTTGGGTTGGCATCTTTTGGCAGTTGCTTCTACTTATGTCATCAGTAACAAACTGGAGGAGAATAGAAACCAGGGACCAGTTTGTTGTCATTCATTACAAGCTGTGTCAAAAGTATTTGTCAACGTTTCAAGGAGCCTCTAATAAGATAATTAGCCACTACCAGCAGACACATCTACTCCTCTGAGAAACTTGAGCCACACCCCTTCAGAGCTTCTTTTCCACATACCTGAAAAGGTAGCATTGCTTTTCTATGAAGCCAGCTTATGCTTTGAATTATTGGGTTCTAGAATAATGAAACAAGAGTGATTTGGGTTGCCTTAAGTCACAATATGCCTTGAGAGTGGGCTAGCATGCTGGTTATAATATGAGAAAAATGCTAGTTAACCCTTTTCCTTATCCATGGGAGCCCACACATTTTGGCCTTGGTTACTCCTATTTTGAGAGAATGTGGTAGGTAGCATATCTTGGCTGCAATGCACAGTGCATAGGAGTCTAGAATAACCTATTAAACAATTATTTGCATTGTAGGTGGCAAGTCAAGTTTAAGAATGTTATTAATGGGAAACAACTAGTGCAGCAATAAGTCTCAAAAACAACTACCCCAAAAGGTTGCACCACCTTAAGTTTGTTGATTTTCCAGGGGTACCATAACAATTATAATTATGTTTAGCCTGGAGGAGACTGAAAGGTGATATTATGGCCACCTTCAAATATCTAAAGGGATGACACATGGAAGAGGGATCAAGCTTGTTTTCTCCTGTTCCAGACGGCAGGACCTGAACCCAATGGCTTCAAGTTACAAGAAAGGAGATTCTGTTTCAACATCAGGAAGAATTTTCTGAGGGTAAAAGCCGTTCAGCAATGGAACGGACTCCCTCGGAAGGACCCTCCTCTCACTGGAGGTTTTTGAGCAGAGGTCAGGTGGCCATCTGTTAGGGATGCTTTAGCTGTGATTGCAGGGAGTTGGACTAGATGACTCTTGGGGTCCCTGCCAATTCTACAATTCTATGACTCTATTCTAAATTACTGCATATTCTTTTTCTTCTTCTGAGAGCAGATGAACATTTTGTAACTTCTTCCCAAGAAATTTACTTAAACCTCTCATTTATTGGTAGCTCATGCCTGCGCTCCTGGCTTGAACAAGACACTTCCTGCCCTACCTGTAGAATGTCCCTGAATATCACTGACAATCACCGTGCCAGGGAAGATCACCAAAGGGAGAACCTGGATGAAAATTTGGCTCCTGTGGCAGTAGCTGAAGGCAGACCTCACCTGAACCAGCACAATCACTTCTTCCACTTTGATGGTTGGTTTATTTGCCTTTTACTAGTTGACTTGGCCAGAACATCTTTGTAAATGTAGGATTCTTTCCTTTTCTTTTCTTTTCTTTTCTTTTCTTTTCTTTTCTTTTCTTTTCTTTTCTTTCTTGAGAAGCCATACCTTCCCCCATGAGTAGATGAAACCTAGATGAAATAGTCCCTGTGTGCAGCAGGAACAGGCTTTTGGGTTTCTTTCAGGATAATTGTTTTCTCTTCCATGGATGGGAAGGATGAGTCACATATGCGGGGAAGAGTTAATCCTTCCCTGTACACTGTCGCCCCTGCTGGAAATACTCTCATACTTCACCTTAAAAAAAAAAAAAGCCATAGATTGGCTCCAGTAGCAGGCTTCTTGAAATCTGCCTTACTGTGATGAGGAGGAGTAAGAGTAAGAAACTGTCTCTGTGTGTGAGAGAGATAGAGAGATTTAATGAACAAGTTTGAAGCACAAGCCAGCTCTGTGTGCTGGGCACCTGAAATGTTGCCAAGAACACTCACTCTATCCCTGTAGTACTTTCAAAAGTTTGGTTTTTATACTATGTGCAGATTATGTTTAATCATATATAACAGTGGCTTTTCAAGAAAGGAAAATAAAGGGGAGGAGAGAATTGATAATGCTCATGACATCTATTGAACCTTGTAATAATAATTAAGAACTGAGGAATCATTAAAAATATAGACAGAACCGTAGACGATTGGGGTAATTACTCAAAAGCACATTTCACACACCTTAACTGTTGCTTTCTCTTTTCCAGGTTCTCGCATCGCTAGCTGGCTGCCCAGCTTCTCAGTGGAGGTGATGCATACCACCAGTATTCTTGGTATTGCACAAGCAAGCAACTCTCAGCTCAATGCCATGGTAATTCCTATTACTATTTTGCACACTGCTCTGTTTATTCATTTATATGTCACCACCAGTGTATGTGCTGCTTTGGAGAGTAAGTGCAAAAAAAAAGTCCCAGTTCCAAGGAACATAAAAACAAAACTTCATCAGTGTGGTGGTGAAGTCAAGGAAAGGAAGAGAAAAAGGTAACTAGGGACGAAAATGAGCAAGTGCAGTTACATGTACTTCAGACCCATTTTCACTGAGAATGGAGAACTAAGTGTTTGGTCAAAGACATTGTGGAAGAAGTGAGTTTTGAAGAGAGATTTGAAAAAAGAAGCACACATTGTTTCAAACATACACTGTCTATCTTAATAAACTGTGATTAGATGATCAGTGAACATGAATGGAATGAAACCACCATTCTGGATTCTTTTGTGCTCTAGTAGCAAAAGCCTGACCCTTTGAGATTTTAAAGACTTTGGCTTACTTTAAAGTTTTATAAGGTATTTAGTGTGCCACAGTTGGGTCCCCTGTTGGTAACAGTGGATACATTTTCTTTTTTAGGCACATCAGATTCAGGAGATGTTTCCTCAGGTTCCTTACCACCTCATTCTGCAGGATCTGCAGATGACGCGTTCTGTAGAAATAACAACGGACAACATTTTAGAGGGGCGTATTCAAGTGCCTTTCCCAACACAGGTTGGTCAAACGTTACTGAGGCAGTCGGCATATTTCCAATAGCAATCCATCAGCAGCAGACCTGCTGTGTTTATTTTGCAACATTAACATTGTGAAATGGTTATCCTGATGTTTAAGGTTTTTTTAATGTGTGTGTTTAAGTCAATGTTACGTCAAGTAATATTGATCTATGGACTTAATGATCATGAAAATTGAAAAAATGATTTTATATAGCTTTTGCTGCATTGTAAAATATGAACAAAGAGGTCTATCGTAGCCAAAAAGGCCCCCAGAAATTCTTGTGGTACTTCAAAGACTAACAAGCTTATGTCACAACTTTATAAGGTGCCACCAGAAAAGTCTTGGTTTTGTTTTTAAGTTTACTTTGTCTAGTTTTCAAACTTCTGTCAGTAACAAAAAGGAATGGATAAAAAAAGCCCAAACTTCCTCATTATTCTTTTGTCTACCGTGAAATTGTTTATATGGCAGCCTCTGCATATTGGTTACATTTGGGGTTTGCATGTTGGTAATTATTTTGTCCCTGAGGATGAATGGATAAAAATGCACCTCTGTATGTTCTGTACTCGAGTTGTGATCTTGTTGTCATTTCATTAACTCATCAATCTTAAATGACCAAAGTTCTTCTCAAACCCATATGCAAGTCAAAATCCTTGCAAAAAGTAGCTTGTTCCCATTTCATGCATGAGATCACAGTTTTTAAGGAATCAGATATTGATGTGCTGTCAAAGATAGACAGGTGAAGCCTAGTTGCTAGATTGCTGCAGGATAGTCTGTTGAAAATAAGATGATTTTATGGATTGGTCTGTTTTCGTTTTATTGATAGGATTTTAAATGAAGTGTAGTTCTTACTAGTAGGCTTTTGTGTTTTTATTTTATTTTTATTATGGCATTTATTACCTGCAATTCACCATAAAGTCCCAGGGTTGGCTACAATAACATAATCATACAATTAAAAGCAGGAAAAGCAGCTTACACAATGATAAAAATAAGTAGTTAAATTATTAATTCATTTGGTATTTGTAATTTATTTTTTTAAAGTAGATAAACACAACATACATATAGAGCATTACAGAATTCATGGACAAGACCACAAATCTTACAAATGTTGAGGTTACATTGTCCCATTAGTGTTTCATAAATGTGTGTATTAAATCATATTTATTTCACCCTATTTGAGTTTTATGCTGCATTTTTAATTGCAGCATATGGCTGAAAGAGGCTTGCACAGTAAACCCTGTTACAGCTAGGTTTTGAACATGGGTCCACCAACTTGCCCTGCAGCATAAATGCTTTAGAAAGATTGTTTGTGGGGTTTTTCTTTTCAATTCATATCAGTTTTGTCAGTTTTATTTATGCTTACAGCGTTCAGATAGCATCAGACCTGCACTGAACAGTCCCCTGGAAAGACACAACACTGATCAGGAGGACACAGAAGAAGTTACTCAGGTAAACTTGGCAAAGGGGGAAAAAAGGTGCATCATAACACAGGGAAATTTGATAGTGTAATGTCCACAAACCTTGGCACGAAGTCCTCACAAGAACTCCTGGTAGATATCCTTCTGTAGCTTTGCCACTAGTGGATTTGGAGTCTTCATTGCAAAGAACATCTGTCTTAAAGGTGCAAGTAGGTTGCCATTTGTAAGCATAATTGTTCTGGGTCTGACTATGGAGTCTTACTTGCATTTCTCTTGTGTTTTGATGGGGAAGGGATCTGGAGAAAAGGGAATAGTGTTTTTTGTAATTCAAAGGCCTCGAGCAGTTAAGTCAGGGATAGCCAATGTGGTGCCTTCAGATGTAGTTGAACTGCAATTCACCTGCTCCCCATCCAGCATGGTCAATGCTAATGAATGATGGAAATTGTAGTCCAGCAATATCTGGAGGGTGCTGCATTGGCTATTCCTGAGTTAAGCTACTGGCTATTAAAGGGGATACATGGAGGTCTTTGTTCCTCAAGTGGTGGTCTACTGACTATAAGGAGGATTTGAGCTGCTCCAGCTTTTGCCTTTCCCTCATTTATTTTTGAAAAAAATATTAATAATTTAGTACAAAAGTTTAAAAGGACACAGAAGGAAGTTATACCTAACAAAGCCATGATACTTGTGCAACACCTTCTGCTTGTACAATGGGATTTCCACCTCTCCCCGGAATGTCTTAAATAGTAAGATGTAGATTAGTTTTAACATAGGGAAGACATAAGGACAAGACTGTTTCGGAACATATTGTTCCAGTCCATTACAGATACTTGTAAGTAAATGTGTGTGTGTTTGTAGTTCAATGCAATTCCTCATAAAGTAAAATGATTTTTACCCAAGTGTTATTTGCCAGAGACCCTTAAATCCTTCTGGTTTCTCTTGCTTTTTCCCATAGGACAATATACATATGTAGTGGCCATAAGTAACTCCAGATCAATGTTAACAGTCCTTTTCAGAAAACCTTCCACATCATCATAATGTAACCATAATATCAGATGTCCTGTTATCATCTATTAGTCCAGTTGTTTCTAGAAAAAGTCTACGTGGAGGGAGAAGTGTTCTTTTTCTTCTTTAGTAGTTTATGCTTTTGTTTTCAGTGTGCATTCTTCACAGTATTATTCAAAATAACATGTGTGAAAGGATAACTGTCTCTGCCTGGCTGTCACCTGAATCTCTACCCCAAATGTGCTAAAGAATAGTGCCTTCACTTATTTCCTTCCACACATTCACAAATGGGGACAGGGAGAGCAGGACTGCACTTTCTAGCCCCATCTTGATTGCTCTCCTGGTTCTGCCACGCCAACCCAATCTCCACATGTTGATCAGATATCTCCCTTCAATGCCTCCTGTCAGACATGCAGAAGTCTGGATAGCAGAGCCAGCCAAGGTAGCGATGATGTGGGTAATTTGTTCACGTGTGTCTGGCCTTGGAAAACCCATGTTCCAGCACAGAAAAGAATTGGCTTTGACCCGGAGTCTTTGGGTGTGGGTGCAGGCCAGAGCTTTCCAAACTTTTCACATTGTTGACACACTTTTTAGACATGCATCATTTTGCAACACAGTAATTCAGTTTTACTAGCTGGAGGTTAAACTAACCACTTTCTAGTCCTGGGAGGAGTGCGGGGAGTGTTTGCGCGACACACCTGCAAACTGCAGCCAGCACACTAATGTGTTGTGACACACAGTTTGGAAAGCTCTGGTGTAAGCCTTCCTGGTTTCATCTGTGTTAAATGCATGCTTACCCTTCCACATGTTGTACATGATGCTTCTCTTTTTCTTGCTGCGTCTTGTGTAACAGGAGTTAGTTAATAGGAAAATATTTTGTGTGTTGCTGAAGTTAGTCTTTGGCCAACTGAATAGCTGCCTCCATTGTAGAAGTGAGTGACAATGAGCCATGAGCATGAGAAGTATCCCCTTGGCCCCAGCCATCCGGTCTTGGATTACCTATCTCAGTGGTATGAAACCTCAGGCCCTCCAGGCCTCTCTGGCCCTTGGGACTTTGTCTGTGCCACACCCCTTCCTAAGTCTGACACACCTGTTTCTGGCTGTCCTCCATGCCTTCCTTTAGCACTTTTGCCTGGCTGGAATGTCTCTTTATACTGTGGCAGTGCTTCCTGCTTACCTGGATGGAGGAAGGAGCTGTATGTTTGACTGGCTTTTTCTTGGCTGGAACATAAGCTACTATAAAAAGAGTCACATCTATTGCCCTGCCTGCTTTTTGCCTCTGGCCTCCACTCACCACTAGCATGTGGCCCCTGAAGGTTGCCCATCGTGGAAAGTGGCCCTAAGGTTGAAAAAGTTTCCTTGCCCCTGGCTAATGTGAAGACAACTTCCTCCCCCCAAAACAACAACAATGTGGCATATATTTTTGGGAGAGAGGCAGCCTTTCCATTTACTTTGGCAGTGTTTGCACATCCTAGCACCTCAGTAAGATGAGCTTAGTTTGGACCTCCCCAGTTCTTCTGGTAATGTTGTATTAGATTATGGAGATCTGTATTAATGTGCTTTCCCCAATTTCCTTTTGTATGAAAGATGGAGAGAGACTCACTGGAACTCAACTCATGGTTGGAAGATGTGGCAGAGTTCAATGAGGCAGAAGCAGAATCCATTGAGACAGAAGACTTTGAAGTGAGAGGGAGCCGGTTTTCCAAGTCAGCTGACGAAAGACAGAGGATGTTAGTACAGCGGAAAGAAGACCTTTTGCAACAAGCTCGCAGGTGTGTATGTTTTGTGGGTTACGGTTACAAAATGTTTAATGTGGAAAAGCCCAGGAGGAGGATTTGAGGAGGTGTTTAAGGGAAAGTCATTCAGAGATCTTTTGCATATCTAGCTGGCTACCTCTCAGTGATGCAACTTCTCCTTGATCGTGATGCAGTAGCCTGTTTTGTGTTGCCCAAGGGCAGGGATGGTGAACCTGTGACACCGACTCTCCGAAGTCCAACAGCTTCCATTAGTTCCCGCTACCTTGGCTAGTGGTCACAGATGAGGAGAGTTGCAGTCAAGCAGCATGTGGAGGGCCATAAATCCCCCCCTCTCTTAGTGGCTCAGATGCAGTTTTGGAGTTGTGCAACCGGTGTGGCGGCACTGGGTGCTGTGCTGCAGGGGGCGGCACAACAACGCTGTAGAACGGAGTGCGAGAGGTGGGGGCGGTGTCAAATTTTAATGTTGGAAAGGGTGCTGCTGAAATTTGAGACCCCAAAGTCTGCCACTGAGTAGCTGAATAGTGCTGGCCATATGACTGGGAGTTGGACTGGATGGCCTTTTGAATGCTATCAGAATCCAAGTCACTAAGGCAGAAGGAGCCGGCTGGGTGGCTCTCCCAGGCATAGCAGGCAGGTGAGGCCGAAGGTGGGAACTGGACTGGGGAACAGAAGGGGATCTGAGAATAACAACACAGATCTGTCTTTGTGTAGGAGCAGAACATTATCTGATAGCATTCAATAATTCTTTAGGTCTCATGGTCACTATCAGCTGCTCATGTAGGGCTGTGCTTATGCCACCATGAGTGGTCTGAAAATGATATTGAGCACAGGATTCAATTCTCTCAGAATATCAGCTTTCATTAACGATAAAATGTACAGAGCTTTTTATGGCTGAGAAGAAACATTTTCAAATGTCTTAGCATCACCTCCTGAAGTATTGAATGCCAGAGGTGTGGCTCAACATTTCCAGTTGTTCAGGATGAAGCTTCAGAGCTTCTGACATCAATCAAACTAGCAAAACCAGAATAAAGTGGTCAACATAATTAGCACATATTTAAAATTTGCAAAATCCACACAGGCCACAAGATCCAGCTTTTCTTGGTGCATTTTTTTGAAATGTGTGTTAAGGCCTTTCCCCTCCTGCTTGGAAAGGTTAAATGCAAACCAGGCAACCTCTATATTCAGAGTGAACTTTATGTTACTTTCCCTTCAGCCATCTAGTTTTTCTCCCTCCAGGCGTTACCTCAACAAAACCTCTGATGATCCTAGCTCAGATGACTACTTGCAGGCCGAAGGAGCGACTTCAGACCCTATCACCCTGCGCCGGAGGATGTTGGCCGCTGCAGCAGAGCGAAGACTTCAGAAGCAGGATCCCTCTTAACACTTCCTGTCTCCTCCTGTTCTTTTTCCACACAAGCAATGTTTATTACATCCTACACTCTCCCTGCCCACAAGGAGGGTCTCTTCAGAACTCAGCAAATGTGCCGAGGATGACTGATCTGGCTGCATCTTCACTGTATAAAGCATGTGATATCTAATAAGTGTTTGGACAGCTGACAAATTAACCTTTCTTGGGTACTTTTTTTGAGTGACACACATTTTCCTTTCCCCCACCCCCTTTGCGAACAAAAAATGCAGTCTTTAAAGCCCTGGGCATGGTGTGCTGCTTAATGTGAGTTGCAGAGGGACAGTGGCTGAGAAGCACCAGGTCCATTTGCTGCTTGTGTGCACTGAGCTTGCTGGCACGTCCCATTTAAGCTCTTTAAAGTGGAAACTGAACAAGGAATGACAAAAGCACTCTCCTAAGTAAGCAAGCATCACTGCCGAGTCATTGCATGTCTCGAGAACGACATGCTTAAAATAAAAGAAACACATTTTGGATGCTTTTGCAGAGTCTTTTGGACAAAACTGGCATTTCTAAGTGTTGGAGCATGGAAGTGGAGTGCACCAACAGGAGGAGACATCTTAAAGAGTGGAAAATGTTGAGCTAAGTTTTAGAACAGTGGCCCCCAGACAGACAGTGTGAACATTCCTGGATTATTTTTCTACCAGGAGGCTGGCTTGGTTTTTAATGCATTTCATTGCTAGTAACAGACATGTGGCCAAGGGAGAAGCACCGGAAAAAGGGGCGTGAGCCCCCAGCTATATTTGGCATCTTGATTGAGCATTTCAGTAAGCAGGCAAACTGGGATGGTCTCATAGTTTGGTGTCAGAGGCCATCTGCAGAGAAGGCTCCATTCAGGAATGGAAGTTGGCTGCTATTTGAGAGGCAAGGGAGCGCGCAAAAGTATCTTTATTTTTGTAATCTCGCATCTGGCAATACTCCATATGCCCATTAGCTTAATCAGAATTGAGAGAATTGAGGGCTACTAGATCTTAGGCTAGGTGTGCTCAAACTTTTTTCTTTGGTATTGTAAAACTCTGGTAGCTGTATTAGAGATCTCTGGTCTTAGGTCCGTAAATGGGTTTTATGATGGCAGCCAAGTAATTTTTAAGTGTTTGGCGAGTATCGCTATCCTTCAGAAGGTGCCCAGTATTTTAAAAAATATATTGCAAATTATCTTTTTACAGCAGGATTTTAGTAGGGCTGTGTACCAGATTTGGCCAAGGTCTGAATTCCCGAGTCAAATCAAGCCTGAATCCTGGCTTCACTCAAGTCAGGTTGAAATAGCACTGTATCACTACAGGTTGGGTTGAATGACCCACAGCCATCCAGGGCTGCTGGGGCGGGGCATCAGGCAGGCAGGAAGGGGCAGCGCGAGTGAGAAGAAGTCTGAGAAACGGCAAACAGGAGAGGCCTGCATCTTTGTGGGAGATAGTGGGGGGTCTTTCCTGCCAGGCCGTTCCTTATTCTCACCACTGCCTCTTCTCCATTCTGCCACCTGAAATACATTGCGTAGGATTGGATAATCCTATGTAATGACTTTTAGGCAGGAGGATCCCATCTTGTGCAATGCTGCTCCTTTGTGTGTGGCTCCCATTCGATGCAGGGAAGCTGCTTTTGAAGGAGCAGCACCATGCAGGATCAGATTCTCCTTAACAGCTCAACAGCTGTTAAGATCCTGCCACCACCTGTTCTTGACTGTTTTTTAAAAAATAAGGTTTAAAAAACCCTTAGCCCCCCCCCCATTACTTTGGGGACAGATCCAGGGTGGAGTGGGCGGTACAGATGAATTGGCTCAATCTGGGAGCTATAGGGCAGATGGAGGGCAGTCCGTGCACAGCCCCTCTTTTTAGAATATTTGAAGGTGACTATAAGAAAACTGAATTGTGTAAGTGTTAAGTGAAGATAACTTATTTCAGTAACCCCCTTTGGGAAGCCTTACCTTGCAATGCTGTTAGTAAACTATGGAGGAAGAAAGAAAAGATTCTTGTGATTCAGTTTTGCTTAGAGCGCAGCTCTTTGTTTTTATTGTTTTTAAAAAAGGAAATAAAATTCTTGATCAGTGTTGGAAATATTTAACAAACTTCTTTTTTGAACACTTTGCACATCTTCTCTCCTCACCACTCTCAAGTATCAGTGAATCCATACAGATAAATTGTCAAACTACGAGCTCTCTTACCCTGGAGGAGGGTCTGTATCATCCTACCAGAAGTAATGTTATTACGCAACAGTTGCCGATGTGTGGTAGATCACCTATGGGTTCACTATTTGGACACTTGATCTGAAAGCTCTTCCTCAAATTGCTTTGAAAGCGAAGTACATTTTCTGGATATATTTGAAGACATCAAAGTAGAAAAGCCGTTCTCTGCTTACTCCCTTCCATCAACGCCACCTCAGTTACCCACATGGTGGCAGTCTTTACATTTGGATTCTCCATCTGACTGACCCACTTCAGTTATCGGAAGGGTGAAAATGAGAGTGAAACATAAAGGGACTGGGAATTTTACTCAACTTTAGATCAATTATTTTGGATGAAGCAAAGTGAGGCTTTTGTATTGTGCTCTTTTGTTTCATAATATTTTTTACTTTCTGGCTGCACTTTCAGGAGGGACATGGGTGTGCTCATTCTGTCATTTATACCCCAGTGTATGCTGGAAGCTCAAGCTCAAGTCTGGTTTGTAACCTATTCACACAACCAACTTAGGTGTAAGCTGTTCGGTTTCTGTCACCAGCTGTGAGGTGGTTGCACGGGGATATCCTGGAAGAAGACCTTTCTAGGACTAGATCTGCATTTCTGGCATAAATTATTGAAACGAGTGTGGGAAGTTGTGTGTGGGTTCTGAAATGAGAAGGGGAGTGGGGAAAAACAGCATAAGTCTTGTGTTGCATTCTGTGCAACTGCCTTGTTCCTTCTCTGCTCCCTGAAAAACAAAGCCTAGCCATAAAGAGAGAGTAGCCAAGCAATGCTGAGGATTCCCCTGGGAGCTGGAAGGCGATTCTACTGCTTGCCTGTTGCAGCTGTCATCCAACCGGAGCCTCCCATAAAAAATCTGGTTCATGAGCTGCTGTGAAAACCAACGCTTAAAAAACTCTGAATTCAGTGATACTTAGTAATAATCCTTCTGTTTTTATATAGATTTTATCTAGATACCTAGATATATAGTTCCTTATTTCTTTGATAGTGTTTATATGGTTTTGTCATGGCCTTTGGCTAGTACAATAAAGCTTATCTACATCTAGTAATAATCCAAAGGCTCAAGCAGCAACACACAAAACCAGCTAGGGCCTATGGACACTTTGTTCTTTGCAAAGACAGTAAACTGCTTCACGAGTCAGAGGAGGTGAATCATCCCAGGGACAAGGAAAAACACAGGGTGGATGTTCACAGAGTCTTAGGGTTCTATATGGATAGATTTCAGAGTAAGAGCAAAAGTTCTTACTGTGTTTCTGTTAGGCAACGGAAATGCCTGCACCTGCCATTTTCAGGGGACTGAACGGTTCCATTGTCACCCACCTGAATCACACTTGAAAGCTGCAGCATTAAGAGAAGACTTCCAAGTCTGAGTAAGACAGTAACTAATTAATTCCCAAAAGAGAGTTTTCATACCACCTCAAAGACTTTTCAAAGTGGCCCCTACCTTTGGCTTCTATACAAGTGAAGATGAATCAAGGAATGTAGATGCATGTGTAAATACATCTGCACACGTCTTCAGCCTTTTTCGGCCCAGGACTCGCTTTTTTACTGTATCCTGTGACACTCTCAATCTTTGGCCCCATATGTATGCATGTTCAAACTGCTTCATTAGCTGTAAAGGAGAAAGAATTCTTGCAGAAGAGGGAAGGAGGTGTGGCATCTGCAACTATATTGGTATTAAAGGTTAAATAGTTTTGCCTTCCTTTGCATTTGGTCTCTCCAAGTCTTTCTGTTTTCCCTTTTCCTCTCCACTTAAAACCAAAAGGGTGCTAAGGTCACTGCTGTGAGACCTAGCAGCTAAAGCCCATTGCCTTTTACAGTCTATCACCCTTGGGGGATTGCTGTCCCTTCGCCAAAGGAGAATGAGCACCTCTGTCTGTCCTGGAGATCTGTCCCAGTCCCCACTCTTGCCAGGAAGGTATGCACAGACCTTCACAATACATTGCAAATCACAATACATTGCAATACATTGCATATTGTGGAACCTCAGGGCTGAGGGCCAAATGTGGCCCTCCAGGCCTCTATAGCTGCCCCTCTCCAGGTCAAACCCTTCACTAGCTCCACTCCATCCCCTTGAGTTCTTTTGCCTGGCTGGAGTAGGTATTGTGTCCATTTCACAGACAAATAAGTCTGGGACCTAGGGTATTTTCTGGGTAAAGCCTCTTGTAGCTGCTGTTAGCTTGTATGAGCCACACTTCCCAAAATAGGACTTGAAAGCACTATTCAAATAAAGGCTGGGCTGGGCTGGGGGGGGGGGGAAGGGACTGGCACCAGAACTCTTCAAATGATGGACGCACAAAGAACAGCTTGTCAAGTGCACCATCCTGTTATCAATGCCCAATGGGAAGTCCACAAGCAGGACTGTGCAACAGCCCTCCCCCATCCTCCAGCTTCCCAACAGTGGAGGAAGGTAGCCTTATCCTCCACAAATTTATCTAAACCTCTTTGAATACCACTTGAAGAGCTGGAGAGGAGGCAGAACTCGGCAAAGCCAGGAGAGAAAGCTGATTTTTGCTGCTTTAAAAGGATACCCTTGGCCCAGCATAAGGGGCACTATAAAGGGACACAGCCACCTATAATGCCCTAATGCATAGTAAAATCACTGTTCCTGGGACTGCCAGGAGCACAGGATGGAATGATACCTAAGCTGCAGTCCTATGTACATATACCTGGGAGGCAAATCCCATGAAATTTAGCATGGTTACTGCTGAGTATGCACAGGATCCAACTGCACAATTACAGTTTCTTTGCGCACTAAGAAATCCAATTTTCAATATCCTTCTCAGGTTGCAAGGCGGGGGGGTCGGTCGGCGGCATTTTCTGTTTTGCCTCAGGCGGCAAAACCTCTTGGGTTGGTCCTGGGCTAGATGCCTACATTATAGTTGAAATCCACTGTAGAATCAGGCATATTGAGGCCCATTGAAATAAACAGATTTACATATATAACTCATGTGTGAAGCCTCAACAAGTGAGACCTTGAACTGCACCTGTTCAGAGCGTCAGCCGGCCATGCCCTGTTCCTAGGTACCCCATTCCGTTTCACCTCCTTTTCTGTTTTCTCTGCTCAACAGCCACTAGGACAAAGTACACACCATACATTTAAAGCGCACCCCCCCCCAAAAAAAAGAATCCTAGGAACTGTAGTTTATTCTTCAAAGAACTACAATTCCAGCACCCTTAACAAACTCTAGTTCCCTTGATTCCAAGCCCCCCCCCCCTTTTGGAGGGGAAATGTGCTTTAAATGAATGTTGTGTATGCAACCTTAAGTTAACCCCGTGTCATCCTCCAGAAGCCGGAAGGTGCCTCTCTAATGCAGGGAACTTCCTGTCTTCATGTGAAGTCACAGTACTACCTTGCAGGGTGAGGTCCACAAGGAAAGGAGACTCCCCATTTACGAAAGTCATCCTCCAACTTGTGGGGGGAGGAGATAGCAACAGGGGGGAGAGTTATTGCACTTGTCCCTGCCATAGCTGTCAACTTTCAGATTTGAAAATAAGGGATCAGCAGCCTGACCTGTCCTAGGGACAGTCTACAGTATCTAACAATCCGGGATAGCAGCGGAAAGCAGCGGGAAACGGCGCTGGAATAAGGGAATTTCCCGCAAAAAAGGGAAGGTTGACAGCTATGGTCCCTGCTGCCTCCCTCACCCACTAGGGTGCTTGAAGAGGGCAATTGGTACTCACTAGGCTGACCACCCTAGGTATCCTCGGAGGTCCCAGTTTGTGGTGGGTTTGTTTGAGGACGCTATAAAAGATCCCAGGATATGTCTATCATACGCATATACTTGCTCAAAAGGAAAAGCAGTGAGGGAACATAATATATATATATATTTACAATAAAATGACTGTAGAATCAGAAGGTGAGAGAGAAAGAGCCTCAGTGGTACAGACAAACATTCTCTTTATTAAGCTACACATGAATTTTTTTCCATTAGTCAGAGAAAGAAATTGGCAGTGTCTAATAAGATCACAGAAACCTCACCGATTGGTAATAGAAAGGCTTAGAAAGACCTGGCGCTTTTAGAATGAATATATATATATATATATATATATATATATATATATATATGCTTGTGTGTGTGTGTGCATGTGTGTGATAGATATATATATATATATATATATATATATATATATATATATATATATATGAATTTCTCTTTATTTTATTCTGTTTTTTAGACAGGTGCAGTTGGCTTTTTCCAGCAAAGGTACCTCTTAAAAGTGAAACCGTGAAGACATCTGATCGCTAACCAAAAAGTAGATATGACAAAGGGTCATGAAAATGGTGGCTTTTTAAATAATGTAAACACTACATTCGATTTTTGTTTTCGTTTTACTTTTTTTGGTGGTTTTTTCTGGTGTATTTTTTATTTTTTTTAAGAGATTATTTTATTTTTTTCTTTGTTTTTTGTATTTTTTCCCCTTTTGTTTTTGCAGCACAAACACCCCACATGAGAGAAAGAGAGAGAAAACACCATTCACTAAAAGGAAGGATTGTAAGGGCAAGGGTGCGAGGGAGGAAGAGGAAGCAGCATGAAAGAAAAGTATTCACAGGGAAGCATGGTGGGGGATTAAAAATGAGAATGGAACAACAAAAATAATGCCCTCCCAATTTAAACTAACCCACTTAAAAAAAAATTAAACAGAAAAAGGAAAGGACATTGGTAATGCATAACACAGTGTCATTCAGAAGGGAAAAAAAGTCAAAGACAAGAGCATTTAGGGAGGCCAAAGACAGCTGTGCTTATTATTATTATTTTTAAAAATACAAATCCAGAGAGTGAACGAGACAATTCAGAACAGTGAATCATTATTAAACGAGAAAGTTAAAGAGACATCCCTCTCTGCTTGCCTGGCCCACTCTGAAGGCAGGTGTGTTGGATCATCGTGTAGACAAGAGGCTTTTGGGGAGAGAACGCTTTCAGGAGCGGGCAACAATTAGTACAGCAACGATTAAAATACAAAGAGCCACTAACAATTCCCACTGGGATTCTGTTGCTGACAATCTTTTTGCACCTAAATGTTACCACCTACAAGGTCATGGCTAAGGTGAGTGAGATGCAAGGGCAAAGGAAGGGACTTGCCTCCGTTATCCCATCCCCCCTGAGCAAAAAGCAGCACCTGTAATAGTAGAATGGGAGAGGGAAACTGGGAGGCCCATAACTCCTCCGTTTTATTCTATTTTTTTATTTTGCTGCATTCCCCACAGATGTAGGGTGTCTTGTTGGCTGGGCAAGCCGTTCCTGAACTTTCTCGGCTGATCCCCGATAGCTGGCAACCCTCTATATGAAAGGTTGTTGGGGTCTGCGTCTTAATGGCCATTAGAATCTGCCAAGATTTAAGATGGCGGTTTGTATGGGTCAGACTTCTGCTTGCTCAAAGGTTTCACCCTACCAGTGCCAACAAGCAACCGGAACCAAGTCCAATAGAAAATGTCTCTCTTAGAATGGGTTCACAATGCCATTGTGTGTGTGTGTGTGTGTGTGTGTGTGTGTGTGTATGTATTTATAGATCTCTGTGTTTTGTGTGTGTGTTTTAAATAAAGCAAGAGGGGAATCGGGGGTGGGGAGAGACCTTTCTGTTCTTTTCTTCCTCCGTAAGGAAGTCAAATCTTTAATTTCTCTTCTTTACCCTTTCATCATCATCATTAAAAAATTCTCTTTTTGTTTGTCTTAGGTTCTAAATGTAAAGACTAGTCTAAAACCAGGTTTTACACAGCAAACCTACAGAAGTGCACAGCCACCATTCCAAAAATTCAGGACATCAGACACCGAGGCGATACGGAAGGCTGCGTGTCTTTATATAAAGGCTCAAAGTTCATGCTACTAGTGAAGAGGATCCGCGCTGGAGAATCAGAAATGGAGTGTTGGGTGAGGGGGGCCCACAGGAGGCCTGGTCTGAACATAAATATTGGGTGGATGGGAGCACGGAGACCCGGAATCAAATATATTAGAAAAGGAGTAATCCTCCAAATAAAAGCTGTACTTAAATTGCGATAAAGGATGGGGGATGTTCTCCCCACCATCTCTCCTACATAAAGAGCTTGAGCACGGACTGTTTGTGAGAGAGGGGGAATTCTTCCACCTGACCTGCGGGGTGTAGGAGGGATGCTATCTCAGGTACAACTTTCAAATTGCTGATAGAAATTCCCTTTGCCAGTCTCCCATGCTGGTTTAAAGAAGCAGAGACAGAAGCAGGCCCCTTTCTTTATACTCCTGAAGGATTATATATATAAACATGGTCAACGAAGGGTGCTGGCCTGTCACCTCTATTCTAACTCTATTCTGTTTCTTTCTCCCCGCAAGCTCCCCCTCAGTTTCCCCCCCTTTAATAGGTTTTAACTACTCCATAGCTGAACGGAACTGAGGATCCCTGAAAGCTCAGCGGCCCTGTGGCAAATGATGCATTGCAGCAGCAACTTAGATGGTGGTACATCTTTTTTAAAAATCCACAGGAACTGGGCAGGGGAAGCCATCCTTCCCCGCTCATACCCTAAAGCACCCTATGCACAAAGGAGTCTTAAAAAAATAATATTACCACTTTTTTCTTTTCTTTTTTTAAGAAAGTTGATTCCTTTTAAAACTCACGTAGTATCTTATGCTATGTGGACGGCGAGTTTAGAAAAATTCAGAGTATGGTCTTTTTTCTTTCTTGTTGTTTTCCAAAAGCATCTTTTGCAATGAATTACCTGCCATGACTAGTGCAATCCGATGCATGTCTACTCAGAGGTAAGTCCTGCTGCTTTCAATGGGGGCTTACTCCCAAGTCAACAGGTATAGGCTTGCAGGCAACGTTACTTTAGCAGAAAGGAAGGATTTTAAGGTGATGTCAGGGGCATCAGTGCTACCCAGTACTCTTCTGAGGCAAACTAAAATAAATAAATAAAAGGAAAAGGAAAAATGTTTTTATATAAAAATTTTCATTATGCCTTTTTATTTACCAACTTGCATGATTCATCATCATTATTAATATTATTATTATTATTGTGTTTGTGTTTGCATGTGTGTGTGTGAGAGAGACTCATATTTTGTTTTGCCTTTTTTTTCAAATATTTTATTTTATTTTCCTCTCGCTGTGATTGTTTCCAAATAAGTTGCTTGCTATACAGGATGGGATGGAGAAAAGGGAGAGGGGTCAGTATAAGCCGCAGCCTCGGAGGTTGTTGGCAATGATGATGTCGGTGACGGCATCGAATACCACCTGGATGTTACCCGTGTCTGTCGCACATGTCATGTGACAGTAAATCTCCTTGTTGGGCGAGCGGTTTTTGCTTTCAAATTGTGCTTGGATATAGGCTGCAGCATCTTCATATGTGTTGGGACCTGCATAGAGAGGGAGGGAGGGGTAGGAGACATTTTAAAAAATAACGTTATAAAAATAAAAATACAAAACTCAGCACAAGTTTAGATGGTAGCTATAAAATAAGAACAGGAGAAGAGCCTCACTACTCAATCAGGTCAAATGCTTATCAAGTCCAGCATCCTGTTCTCACAGTGGCCAACCAGATGGAAAGCCTGCAAGCAGGACTTCTCAATGGACTGCAAGCAAAATTTATTTACGGGAATGATGACTAATACCAACCAAACATACTCCTCTGTACATACGGATCTTAGAACTTCGGAAACGGCCTCAAAAAGGTCAGATCTCATAGTGGTCGACCGGATGCCTGAGGGAACTCACGAGTGAGCCCTCTCCTCACTGGTATTCTAGAAGTAGGATTCGTAAGGATGTGGGAAATAAAGTTATTGGAAATGTGATCTGATGCTAATCTGGGAATTGGGCTCTGAATATAATGAGCTATTTCCCTGAAAGCAGCTTTGTTTGCCAAATCCACTTCCAGATCAATCTGAGGTGAGTCCACTAAATTAGGTGGCTCTGAACCATTTCTCCCTAATCTGAATGCATATTTGAAACACCCCCCACCCCCCCAGTATGTGTTAAGGCTCAATGATCACTCATTTTCTTGACATGCTAGTTTTTAAAAATATATATTAATAATACTGGGAGTGTTTGCATGTTGGGGAGGGGGGCTTTCAAACATGCAACCCCCCCCCACTTGCCCTGTGAAATGGCACAGCCTGGCAGAAGCTGCCTTGTGTGATTAGTCTGATGCTTTTTTCCTGCTCATAGACGGACACTTCCTTCCCACTGATGAGAATCTGCCAACTCTCTGTGACATCATGGTAGCTCAGCTGATGCCTCGGCAGAAAACAGGAAGGCAATCAGCCAGAGTATGTAGTCTGTTTTCTAGGGGAGTTATCTCTCAGGCAGGACTGGATCAAATATCTCCTGGTTTACACTTGGGGTTTCAGCAGACTCTGCTCCATGGGTCAGTCTGTTGTTTTTCGTTTGCTCCACAGCTGGATCTTGAGCACCTCAGGCGCTGCCATTACATACCTGTATATTCAGGGAAGCAGATGGTCAGAGGTGATTTCTTGATCTTCTCACCAAACAGGTCTTTCTTGTTGAGGAAGAGAATGATGGAGGTGTCAATGAAGAATTTGTTGTTACAGATGGAATCGAAGAGCATTAGAGACTCATGCATGCGGTTCTATGGCAAGGCACATATAGGAAGAGAAGAAAAGAAAGACAAAGAACGAGAGAGAGAGAGAGAGAGAGAAACAGAGAGAAAGAAACAGAAAGTTAGGATTAGAGAAAGAGAATAGTTACCAAACCAGCAACTGAGAAATGATCAAAGATCCACGTGTACCGAAAACCCAAAGAGTTACATATCATGAAGAAGTGAAGTCAAGAAAATGGGTGGTGTTATGATGTCTTCAGCACCTATTCTCCACCTAGCTTTTCTGTGTCATTTAGATAAAGCTCTCCTGGAAAGATATGCCCATGAGAATTACAGAGAAACAACAGTTGCCATACCTGTCAATTAGGATCAGCTTAAAAAAAACCCTTCCCAACCTGCTGCCCTCCAGATGCTTTGGGCTACAATAGCCATCAGTCCCAGCCAAGATGGCTGCATGATGTTCGGGCTGATAGGAATTTTGTAGTCCAAAACACCAGACCCTCCAAGTGTCCCTGTTGTCCAGGGACAGTACCGTATTTACAGAAGCCATCCCACTTTTCCTTAGGACATCCCTATTTTCAGCGGAGAAATGTTGGAGGGCATGACACACCTGTAGGGCAAGTAGGCCGGCCAGAGAAGGCTGAGCGAAAACATCTCAGAGCAATGAGCTCTTAGAACCCTTTATGATGGTTGGTTGTTAAAGAAACAAACCAAAAGGGCTGAGCCTTAGGTGGAGAGGACAGAGAAAAGATATTGCTGAGGTACATGGGAAAATGTCCCGTTTCATTCTGATTTGTTTACAAGGAGATTAGATGATGTTGGCTATTTAATGAGCATTCAGTCTGATTTGTTTTCAGGGAGGTTAGATGGGAGTGTGTCAAAGGAAGGGTTATCAGTACACTTTCCAAGGCACTTCACCATCCTTTTCCTTATTGCAAAAACCCACTCTTTGGGGGAAGCAGGTTTGTTGTGCAAAACAACCCAATCAGCTATAATGAAAGAAAACTGAATTTCCCAGTGTGTGATTGGATCCCACCTGAAAGCAGGGACAGTCTGGAAGCATCAGACTGGCTCAACATGGTGTGCAGGAGGTGTTGCACAGAAATCATTAAAACTTAGGCTAGGACAGTTTTCAGGTTGCTCCAAGAGCTCCTGGTCCAAAGGAATACAAAAGTCATTATCTGGATCTATGTCTAGCGCTAATCATTCTATAAACAGATGCAGCCCCAGACAGGCCTCATTTATTTGAGGGACTGATACCTTGCCTTTCAAGAAAGCTATTTCCAACCAGTATCTTCTCTAACAATTTGACTTTTCTTACTCCCAAACCTTGGTTCCCAAGGGCTTGCCTCCCCAGGTTTAAAACTATATATATATATATATGAATATTTCTAGGCTTTCTTTTTAGGATATAATCCTCACAAGCCAGTTTATAATCAGAATCAAAATACTTTCAAGCATAAAAGTATTTTATAACTTTTTATACATTTTTATACTTTATAATGGTATAAAAATGTATAAAAAGTTATAAAATAGCATCTTAGAAAGAGTATAAACCATTTAAAAAATGGTCCATAGCTTTCAGGAATTTCACACACAAAAATTAACCACTGAAATCTTCCCCAATCTGGTGCCCTCCCTAGGTTTTGGACTACCACGTCCACCAGCCGAAGTCAGCTGATGGAGTTGTAATTCAAAACATACAGAGGGCACCAGATTAGGAAATGCTGCTCTTTGAAATACATGAGCTTTTAAAAGCCTTCTGAAGATCTTTATAGCAAGGATCAAAAGTGCATTTTGCTGGAGGCCCAGTTATGGAGCTCCCTTCGAGTTCCAGTACATAACACTGAAGATGATCAGTATTGACATCTCAAAAAACCACAGCAGCACAGAGTCTCCACCTGACTTTCCCCATCCAAGCCTTAGTGTCACCACTTGCATATCTCCCAAAAAGATGATGCAGATTGGCATAAAACATGCACGTCCAAAGCGAGATAAATGTTCTTATATGGTCACAGACCCAGCATAAATAAATTAATACACCAAAATAATACAATTTCCAACACACACTGAGTTAAGAAATATGATACTTAGAACCAAACAAAGACAAAATTAAATCAACAAAACCCCTTTATGGTCTTTGCAGCAGAAAGTAGAAACCCATCAACTGTTTCCAATATTATCTTGTTCATGTCAGTTAATAAGTAAGTTAAATACCATCCAAAAGTCCTTCTTGAGTTCCCCATTTTTTCGTATTCTTTTTCAGGGCACTTGAGAGAGTCTTTAGACTTTCTTTATTGTTTGGATGAATGAAGGGTTGAGCTTAATTTATTGTTACAAGATGGCCATGGGTGCTGTTTGTCCCCCTTCCCACCATTTCCACAAAACATTTCCTTAGTGCTTCACAGCTTTCCTGGCTGCCTGCACTTCCTGATTTAGAAAAGCTCTGGGGGGAAAGTTATGCTATCTCCCTGGAGCATTAACTGAAACATTTGATGACAGGAAAGATGGCTAACAAGTAGAAATAGGGAAGAAATTTGATTAACTTCACATTTAGAGGTGAACCTACTTAATTCACACTTTCTGAAATAACACACAAACCAAAATAGAGCCAATCTTCAAAATGGACACTTCTCTGAATTCTACAATGCAGTTCTCCAGCCAAGTAAGGACACTTCCCAAAATTAACATACCCTGTTATTAGTGCTGGGGAAGGAGAGGGCATATACTAGGCCAGAGGAGAAGCGGTCACATACTGCTGGAGTGAGAGTCCTATAGCATGGAACTGTGCTCTTCTTGGGTGGGTGATGGCAGGTGAATACTTGTCCCAGGTAACAACTGAGGGTGGGTTAAACCTGATCTTGTTGTACAGCAGGTATCTCCCAGTTTGATGTTTCTTGGCACTGACTGATAGAAAACCTGTTAGTTTTGAATAGCTGGCTGTGTGAGAGTATACTTGTCTCTGGTATGCGTCTGGGAAATGAGGGGGTGGGTAGGAATGGGGTGCCTATTTCCAACCCAGTGATCATGGGGAACAGGGCTTACCCTCTGCCTGCCACCTCTTGTGGGGTGGACATTGGCTTTAAGCCCTGTAGCCATAAGAGAAGCCTTGTTGAATCAGATGAAAGGGATATTGTTCTTGGAATTTCAGAACATAAGAAGAGCCCTACTAGATCAGGCCTAAGGTGTATCGAATCAAGCAATCTGTTCTCACAGTGGCCAACCAGATGCCTCTGGGAAGCCTGCAAGCAGGACAGGAGTGCAGCAGCACTCTTCTTCACCTGTAATTCCTGGCAACTGGTTTTCAGAGCCACTGGTAACCTTATCCATCATGAATTTGTCTAATCCCCTTTTAAAGTCATGCAAGTTAGTGGCCATCGCTATCTCTTGTGGGAGCAAATTCCACAGTTTAGCGATGGAGAACACTTCCTTTTGTCTGTCCTGAATCTTCCAATATTCAGCTTCATTGGATGACGGCCCTGAGTTCTAGTATTATGAGGGATGGAGCAAAACTTCTTATCCTTTCTGCAACTATACTATGCAGAATTCTATCTGCCTCTATCTGCCTTCTATCACATGTTCCCAAAGAGACAGGACAGACTTTCATCGTTTTCCTAAACTAAGCTGGCACCAACACCTTCTGGTGCACAGCAGATGGAAAAAGAAGTCTGCAAATCACATGGCTACCCTAAAGTTAGTCTTTGCTGCCTCTCAAAGAGGCATTGCCCTCAAGGGAAGCATGTCTGTGTCAGGGTTGAGCCCAAGAGAGAGTTTTAAAGGGGCCTCTTTGACCTCCTGTTCCTTTGAACAGCTGGGCCATTTGGCTTCCCTACTGCATCGCAATTAAACATCCCTGCATTAATTGGAAGAAGAGTACATTGCAACAGTTCTGGCTATTAAAACCTGCCGAAAGTCAAACGCAAACCACCTCATAAAACAATTTGCCAAGTCAGAACCAGGAAATGGGATTCAGATAGTGTACTGGGAATTGACTGTCCAGAAACCCCATAAATTACACTTGTTACACAGAGAATTTCCTGCTTTCCTGCTTTGTTTTGAGTGCCACCATGTATTAATGGCTGGGGATCTTATGTAGGAAAAGAGCTTGTTACAGAAGCAGGTTGGCCGACTGGTGACTGCATCTTGTGTAAGATAATGACTTTCAGGCACAAAGCAATCTCCCCATTGGAAGAATGGTTTGCGATGGTGCGATGACGAGAATATGGCAGAAAAGGGGGAAGCCTTGCAGGCCTTTACATGAGCACGATTTAGGTATGTAGAGCTTGTCTACAGAAGTCTTTTCAACATGAGGCCCTCTAGATATTTTGGGCTACAACTCCCATTAGTCCCAGTCAGTGTTGCCCATCAGCCACCATCCAGTAATTAATCTAATCCAGGGATAGCCAACATGGAGCTGCCCAAACGTTGCTGGACCATCCCTGACCATTGGCCATGCTGGTTGGGGCTGATGGGAGTTGGTATCCCATCTAGAGGGCATCATGTTGGTTGTCGCTGATCTAACCCTTTCAAAAAGACACATGCAGCACAGCCCACTCAACTCCAATGTTAGTTCCACTGTGGTCAACAGAGTCCCAAGTAAGCATACTTAAGGTTGCAGCTTTACTCCATTGTTCTGCAACTGTGCAGAGAGTGTCTACGCACACACAATATGTACGTCCATTGGCTTTGTTCAGAACTTTAGCTGAAAGTGTAGTCATTGGGAGTCACCAACTCAGTACAGTAGTCACCAACCCAGTTCCTTACCCCATGCATCCACTTAATGTGCAAAAAGGATGAAACATTCAACTTACCATGGAGGAATCCTCACTGGGCAGAAATTTCCTTATGAAGAAACATGTATTATGCCACTCACAAACATATTTACAGCCCTGTTGCATCAGGCCAAAGGCCCATCTAGTCCTACATGTTGTTCTCATAGCAGTCAATGAGATGCCTATGGGAAGCCCATAAGTAGGACCTGAGTGCCACAGTGCTCTTTAACTTCTGATTCTTAGCATACTGCCCTTGGCAGTGGAGGCAGATCAACATCACTAGTAGCCACTGATAGCCTTATCGGCCACAAATTTGTCTAATCCTCTTTTAAAACCATCCAAGTGGGTGGCCATTGCTACAACTTGGTTTTGGGCGTTCTCTAGTTTTACCTATGCACCATGTGAAACAGGACCTCTTTTCACCCATAACAGACAAAACTGTTAATCATTCTGCGATTTCCTTGAGGCTTTCTCAGAAGAGGAAAACCCAATAAAATATCTCAAACGCTAGAAAAGAGCTGGCATTTTATTAACATTTGGTAACTAATAAATACATTACTGACAGCCAATAAATTATTACAATAAGAATCAAAAGACCTATTAAATCAACAGACAGTCATTCGCACTCCATACAAAATGACAGTTAATAATGGTTCAGAACAATCAAATGTGCAAAAAAATTAAAAACAAAATTCAGCAACTAACCAGCAAAGAAAAAGTAGGATTTAGCAAGCATCAAGGGCCCTTCAAAATTTTTGTATTTATTTATTTAAAGCATTTCCCTAAAAAATAAAAAAAATCTACTGTGGGGAAAAAAGGGTGGGAGGCCAATGACGACCAAGTGTAAAGATGTTTGGAATGCAAGTTTAAAGAATGTAGCTGAATTGTTACATTAGGGCAAGGGCAAAATGGTTTGTGCCAATCTAGTGATGCACGCAGACAAGAAGCAGGCTTTTAAAAGTGTATAGCTAGCCTAGCCTTCCCCAACCTTTGGATTTTGTGGACTACAACTCCCATCAGCCCTAGCATCATATAGCAGTGCTGGATGGAGACAATGGGAGTTGTAGTCCAGAGCATCTGGAGTGGACCAGGTTGGTGGATGTTGTCCTAACTGGATGATGAACTGTGCCTGCAAACTTTGCATGTGGGTCATCCCCCAATACTGTTGCCAGGGGTGCATGTGTGCAACCAGGGTCAAAAATTGGGCAACCCACCAGTTTAGGCCCTCCCCCCACATCAAACAACTGATAGGTGCCATGGCTGATTTTCTGACAGGGAATGCATCTGTAGACAGTGGGACTGAAGTATTGGCTTGAAAACCTGCTTCAAGGTGCAACCCAGAGTGCACCCTGAAGGGTTTATATCAGGGATGGGGAACCTTCGGCCTCTCCATCCAGCACTCAATACTCTCTCCAGGCCACACCCACTTCCACTCAGGAAACACCCCTCACTAGCCCTGCTACACACTCTCTTTGAATGCTTTTGATCGGCTGGAGTGTGACTTAATATAATGTCTCTAACTTGGCAGGATGAAGGACGGAAATTGTGTGTGTGTGAGAGTGGAATTCTCTGGCATGTGTGGTTTGAATAAGCTGAAAGGTAAGACTCATACCTGTTAGTCTGGCTACTTTGGCCTCTGGCCACACCTTTGGCACATGACCCCTCAGGCGGGAATGTGTCCCTCAAGCTAAGAAAGCTTCCTTACCCTACCCTTGGTTCCCTCTTTGGAGGAGGGAAATAAATGAGTGAGGACTGAATGAATGAGTATCAAGAATCTCTCCAAGCCACAAAGGAAAATCTAAGAGAAGAACAAACTACAGTCATACACTAGTTTTTGAACAGCTTAGTTCTCGAACGTTTTGGCTCCCGAACACCGCAAACCCGGAAGTGACTGTTCCAGAGCTTCCTGCAGACAATCAGAAGCCGCACTTTGGTTTCTGAATGTTTTGGAAGT